CAGCAATGTTAAAGCGTTCTTAGTTCTCTTTACAACTTTTGAAACAACAAATGAAAATCATGTCAACATTCATTTTTCCCTGCCTCAAAAATCTTAGCCTGTATTTCTAGACCTAGAATTATTCTTGCAATGACATTTTCTCCATTTCATTTTACACCTTGCCTTTTCCTTACAAATCATATTCTCTTTTCATCAGTACATCTGCCCGAAATGCTCTTCTACTTGACAGTTCTATCCCACACTCGCCTCTGAGCTTATAACAAGACATACCTCTGGGAATTGCAAAGTGCCATATTTAAAATCTCTCAGTGAGACGACCAGGTTTTCCCGTGTGATCATGAGGGATTCCTCAAATCTGAGTTTTAGAGCTAATATACGACAACTGATGAGCACAGTATTTTCACATTTGTGTATTTATGCTGTGCTAATATACTTAAACAGTATGTATGTCCATTGAGAATTTTTTCACAAATTTCTTATCAGCTTTACCTTTTAAGAGAGAGATAACTTGCATATTTGTATCGTTTTCTAGGATTCTACTTCACCTCCTGAGCATATTAGATTGGCCCAGATTGGAAGGTAGATGTCACAAAAAGACACTCACTGTAATGCTAAAATCCAAAACCCAGATCCGTTGCTGTGTAGTGATTGCAAGTCACGATGCTCACCGTGTGGGCGGAGCAGACTGGATGCCTTCCTGTCTGCTCATGACTGTGCACTGTCAGAAGCAGGTCATGAGACCTTTCCTTCCAAGGCTGCTCTGAGTGGATTTGAACAACCTTTCAGTTAGTAGTCAAATGCTTAATCTTTAGTGCCATGCTGAAGCTCCTAATGAGACATTGAAAAACCTCAGTTGTCGTAGAGTTGATTCTGGCTCGGAGTGACCTTATACAAGAAAGTGGAAACACCACAAAGCATTCCCAAGGCTGAGCTTTAAGAACAGCTGGTGAGCTACACCACCAACCTTTTGGTTAATAGCCAAACACTTGCTCAGTGTGCCACCAGACCGGGCTCCTTGGAATAACCAACACACCCATGGCTACTGACAACTCATTACAACTCTATAGGACAGAGTAAAGCTTGCCCCTACGATTTCCCAGGCCATATAATCTTGGAACCACCCAAGCGTCGATAACTCTCCTTCATAGGGTCACTATGAGTCACCTGCGACTCGACAGCACTTAACAACAACAACAACAATCTTGGAACAGACTGCAATGTCCTTCGGCAGTGTGGCTAAATGGATTCTAACTTCTCACTTTTCAACTAGTGGGAAAGTGCTTACTCACTGTTTAACCAGGGCTTTTCTTTGGAAAACTAGTCAGCAATAAAGAGTAACATGTAACTGACACATGAAGCAAAATGAGTGAATCTCAGGGATCTTATGTAAATTTAATAAGCCAGACATAAGACTTCAATGTTGCCTGGATTCATTTCTGTAAGGACACAGAAAAAGCAAAACTGTAAGTACAGAAGGGAACTCAGGTGGCATAGTCCCTAGAGAGTTGCACTGTTGACCCTCTACAGACTATGGGCTTCTCTGGCAGTTCGAATCCACTAATTGCTACATGATAGCGACATCAGCAGTCTCTTCCTGTGCAGTTTACACCTTGGAAATGTGCTGGGGTGGCAGCTCTGAGTCCGACTTGGCTTGATAGCAATGAGAAAGAGATCGAGACAGAACTAGTGAAAAGCAGGGAGCTTAATACAAAGGGGAATGAAGGAATTCGAGGGTGTGTGTAAAAATATACTTTGAATTGTGATGCTGGCAAATAGTACTGATTACACCATGACTGGCAAATAAACAAACCTTTCCTAGAAGAAGTGCAACCAGGTGCTACTTAGGGGCAAGGATGGTGAAACTTTGTCTCATGTATTTTGGGCATGTTGTCAGAGGGAATAGTCCTTGAAGAAAGATGAGAAGCACGGAGAAGCAGAGGGCCAGAGAAAGAAAGACCTTTAAGGAAATGAATTGAAACAATGGGCTTGGGTATGGCAGAGAGTTTGAGGATGGCACAGAATAATATAGCTCAACAACACCCAACAACAATAACAAAAGTAAACTCTGTCTTAACTGTGATGGTGGTCACAAAACTAGAGATGTATCAGGCTCATCAAATGATATACCTAAAAAGAGTGGCTCATAAAGTATCTGAATTATATTTCCATAAACTTGACTAAAAAAGTTTCATTTTGAGGAATTTCCTGTCATCTTTTTAAAGGTACATTTTATTGACAAAATACCATCTGTTTTATTTTTTTTCCCCATTTCCATTTCCAACCCTGAATGTATGATATTCAGACTAGTTTTAAATAGCTATAAGTTACTTTCCTAGGACTGAGTTAGTATATTTGGCACCTAAAATTAAATGATTATTATATAACATATAAATATTATGAAATATTATAAATTCTAAGAATGTAAAAAATTACATTCTTGATATTTGGATTTTACTTTATTTTTAATAATAAATAACAATTAAGCTACTGTGCTGAGAATTGGCGATATCTGATATTATCTAATAGTTATTCAATCTTGTGAAATAATTGCATTTGATGTTTTTGTTGTTAGGTGTTGTCAAGTCAACTTTGACTCCTAGCAAACCTCTGTACAACAGCTCAGAATGCCCTATCCAACCCCATTCTTATCATCTCTGATATGTTGAAGCCCATTTTTACAGGCACTGTGTCAGTTTATGTTGTTGAAGATCTTCCTCTCTTTTTCTGACTCACTACTTTTCTCAGCAGAATGCCATTCTCCAAAACCTGCCTCCTCCTGACAACATATCCTAAGTGTGGGAGATGGTTTCACCATCCTTGCTTCTAAGGAGCACCCTGGTACACTTCCTCTAAGAAACATTTTTTAGTCCATGGGATTTTTAGTACTCTTTTCTAACACCACAGTTTAAAGGCATTGATTCTTCTGTCATCCTTAGTCATTATCCAACTTTCAGATGCATGCTGATTGTCATCGAGTTGAGCACAACTCATAGCAACCCTATGAACAAAAGGCCTGAAGCCTTTCTAGAACTATCGACATTTATCAAAGTTCATAGAGTTAGAAGCAGGAGCGGCATCCACTTCCTAAATAACATGCCTCCGGAAGCTTTATGAACTTTGATAAATGTTGATGGTTGTAGAGGGGCTTCAGGCAGGCATTCTGTTAAGGAGGCGCTTTGAGTTGTGCTCGACTCGAAGGCAATCAACAACTACAACAACAATGACGTAGAGTTTCCAGAGGCATGTCGTTTAGGAAGGATACAGACAATTGAACATCTTATGACCTGGATGTAGTGCACCTTAGTCTTTAAACTGACATCCTGGCTCTGCTGCACTTTAAAGAGGTCTTTGACAACAGGTTTTCCCCAATGATTTCTTAACTGCTGTTACCATGGGTATTGATTGTGGATCCCAATAAAAGGAAATTGTTGACACCTTAAATCCTTTTTCCTTCTATCATGAAGATGTCTGTTGACCCAGTGGTGAAGAGTTTTGTTTTCTTAATATTGAGATGTAATTCATCTTGAAGGCTATAATGTTTACTCTTCTTAGCCCTGTTTTATTTCCTTATTTTTATGAGTGAAGGTTTACAAAACATACTGGTTTTTCAATCTTTAGCATATACTTTTTTATAATGTTGATTATAATACTTAATATGTCTGATCATCCACTTATTGAATATTGCCTTTCTCTTCACTATCTTAATATGGTTTATAGTCTATTTATTAATTTTTGTTTGCTTCTCTTTCACTTCACCAACCTGGTAATCACGTTAGAATGTTTCTACTGAAGATAGGTGTAAACATTTCTTTACCTTGTTTTCACAGTGGTCTTACACAATATTTATCAGTATGTGACTGACTTACTTCATTTAATGTAGTCTCTTCTAGATTCATCCTTATTGTGCAGTGTTAAAAAATTCTTCATTACTTTTCAAAGTTTTATATTACTCCCTTGTGTGAATGTACCATAGTTTCTTTAACCACTTCTGGATAAAGCACTTCCACTGCTGGGTTTTTGGGTGTGTTCCATCTCTTAGCTATTGTGAATAGGTATTAGTCCCACTTTAAGTAAAGAGAACCGAGGCTCAGGCAACAACAAGCCTCTCAATCCTTTCTATTCTGAATCCAACAAAGGTCACCACCTTTCATTAAGTTTTACCAGTTTCATAATAGGTTGCATAAAGCCTTGGAAAAGGAAAAAAAAAAGTCTTCCCTTGAAGACAAGAAGGTTTTTAAAGAATTGATACTGATTGAGGATGTGCATTTGCCACTCATTAACAAAAACTCTTTGATAAAAGGTTGGTTTAATTACTGTTGTTGCTTGGTGTAACAAATGAGTTGACTATGACTCAGTGATCCTGTGAACAACAGATCTGAGACTTGTTCTATCCTGCACCATTGTCACGATTTCATGCTCAGGCCCATTATGCTAGTCTGTATCATATGATATAACTGTGTCAGTTATAATAAAGAAAAAAAAATGTTTCCAGCCTCATCTAAGATTTAGTTGTAAATGCAAAGCCAGGATTTGGTGTATTTGTCCCAAAGAAAGAAAATTATTTTTTGAGTTTATAAATTTGTTGATCACTGATACTGTCTTCATAACCTCTAAGTACAGTTCCATACCCTAGCCATTTTACATACAAATAGCTCGCAGGCTCTAAATAGTACTTTTATGTAAAGCATGTTATCAAACCTACGTCCTATTTTGGGGGGCAAATCCTTAAAATTTGCACTCACTCTCATATTGGATGTATAGTACTTTAACTAGATAATGCGTATTTGATCCGCTATCCAGCCCGGCAGCTGCTCATCCATAGAGAATTTTATTTCCTTGTAGCTTGCCAGATACTCTCTTACCTTTTATTCAGAATTGTCTGAGTGTGCCTTCCCCACTAGCATTGAACTGTATGTACTGTGTGCTGTAGAGGTGTGCAGTTAAAATACGTTTATTCTCAGAAATATTTAAAAAATATTTTAAAATGTTTTCCTTTGCAGAATCAGACACAAGTTTGGCAGAAGGAAGTGTCAGCTGCTTAGAAGAAAGTCTTGGACATAACAGCAACATGGGCAGTGATTCAGGCACCATGGGAAGTGATTCAGGTACTGCCTAACTGTTGTGTAAACCTTAAAAAGTGTGAAATAAGACACCATATAGTGGAAAGCATGGGGGCTGTTCATACCCTCCCTAATGTATTTATGCAATTAAAGCAATTCTTTTCTACTGTGAAAGAGTTTTGGAACTTTGCCATTCACCTTCTTTTAAAAAGTGCAACTTCTAAAAGTCTTTTACAATCAATTAATTCTGATGCAGGACATATCCCTTTTGGCATACCATATTCCACATTCCATAGCCTCATGCCATCTATTTTATTTATGAGATCCATTTCAGTTAATTTTGCTGCATTTGAAAACTGTCTTCTATTTTGTAAATTTATTTCCAGCCCTGATTTTTCTTAAAATATATTTAAACAAAAATCAATACTATCAGCACAATAAATTTGTAGATAACTGAAGATCACAAAAGATCCACTCTCTTAACAGGAAAAGATAGATATTGCACATAGAGTTAAAAGAATTCTGCTTCTTGTAAACATCACTTGCATAATAGAAGTGTTTGCAAGATATTTTGGTCACGAAATGATAACTTCACTAGGTGTCTACAAAATTGTTCTCTATATTGCTTGTATAACCTCGCAGGAATAAACAAAAATGCCTATTTCCAGTTTCCCATACTCCAATCTTCTGACAAGGAAAGTCTGGTGGCCTGGTGGATAAAGAGCTGTGTTGCTAGCTCAAAGGCAAGTGATTCAAATCCACCAACTTCTCTACATGAGAAAGAAGAGCGATCTCCTTTTGTAAGATTTATGGCCCCCGCAAAAGCAAATGGAGGGTCAGGAATGAGTCAGTTGCAACGCGGCAACATATAGCAACAATAACATACTTTTGAAAATCCTATTATCAGACTTCTTAATTTTTTTCAGCCTATTGGATTTCAAATACTGTATTTCTGTTCTTTGAATGTGTATTCCTGTTACTGCTTCTGAAATAAATTATTAACGGCTTCTAAATATGGGGGATGGATCCTTGAATGTCTGTTACACATATTTCTGTATTTGTCCATATGTTTAAAGTATTTCATAATTAATATGAACAAATTTTAACAACAACTAAAAATAAGTTCTTAGCAGCATGGCCAGTAAATTACTTTATTGTGAATTTGTTCTGTGACTGTGGAAAATGTTCAGAAAATACTGTGGACTTCAGAATATCCTACATTAGCAGAAGAATGGTAGAGATTTAGATCTACAATAAGCCAAAAGAGACAAAACAGTTTACTTATGAGCCCTAAGACCTTCCCAAATGCTTCTACCCCCTCTTTTATGTTTTTAATCACAGTAACTCTCCCTTTAAACAAATTGGTGGTAGAAACCTAATTTGCTAAATCAATGTTAGACATAGCCTTAATTTTTATTAAAAAGGGTCACTTCATTTCAATTCAAGTCAGCCAGTGTTTATTAAGTTCTTGCCATGTGCTTATTTTTTGTGGATATAAGTGGTTTTCTCCCTAAGCTTTTATTAACTTTTTTTAGTAAATTATATTCCTTCAAGAGCTGAAAATATACTCTAGCTAATACTTAGTATTTAAGCTTCTACATTGCATCCTAATTTTTGTTTGTCTAAGTAAGGGATTTTCAACAATATTAATTCACTTAATAAATATTTAATATATATCTTCTATGTTCAGGGCATTTTACCTGCTTCAAGCTGTTAGCAAACATAAGTATTTGCTGATTTTTCATCCTCAGTATTGCATGAAAGACACGATAAATCTGAATGCAACCTCCTTTTGAAAAGCAAATACATTATCAAAAGCAAATACATTTTCAAAAGCAAATGTATTTTCAAAGACAAGCAAATTTTCAAGGGTCACCCCTTGAAGTTCTGCCTGGGTCAGCATTTAACAATCATCATTTTACATAATGAGTAGTAGAATTCAGAAATTAGGAAATTTTATACACTCAGGAATATGTTATGGACCGAAAAAGTAATCAGTTTTAAAACAATTTCGATAGATTGATGAAACTGAAAAACATAGTGTTTCCACTTTTGAAGTCTATATTAAAAGGACTTTATTTTACCTGTCCTTTGTCCTTACTTAAAGGTCATTTAATCAGGACATAAAGACCATAGGCTAGTCTGATACATATTTTAATATAATTATTAAAAGTACTATATGGCATAGTAAAATGTAATAAGTTATAGTCTGAAAGTTTAACTATTTTAATTATACTATGGGAAGTTGGGATGGTTTTATCCCCCCCCGCTTCCTTTTTCCGAGGGATATGCTGCTTCAATGAAGTGGTAATATTCTTGGCAATGCACACTGGCCTGATATATAGAAAGTGTTTCCTTACTATTTTGAGGCAGTGCCTATTAATGTTTGTCCAGCTGGAATGGTGTAGTTTTCTGTAGTGGCACACTATAGGTAAAGGAATATTTTGTCGATTTCAAACACATGCAGTGACAGACCTTTTCTCTCCAAGAATAACTCAGCTGTCAAAAATCAATGTGAGAATGAAATTTGCCACATGGTGTAGTTCCAATAGAATGTTATTATTTAAACCCTATTTTATTTCTTTATGACCACTTATATGGTATAGAGTTAATTTTGGGGTCATCAGCGAGTGTTTAGTGTAGAATATAGGCAAATGTTACTCCCAGCTTGTGCATGTTTCAAATACCATTTTCATGATTGCATTTAATTGATTCTCTTTTTCAAAGGGAGCCAAAACCAAACAAACAACAAACAAATAGAAACCCAAATATTTCTTCTTTAAAAAGGATATTGGCTCTTGGCTCAGTGACACTAATTCAGTCTCTCCTTCTGGTAACAGAGAAGACAAATTTCTCTTTTCATTACTTAGGAGGATAAATTCTTCCATCCCTATGTCACAAGATGTGATAAGGCAAGAATCAGGCTGAATATTTAGCACTCACCCAGCTCTTTTTCTTTGGATGCTGCTCTCACATTCAATCCAAGTCTAATTTTTTCTATATCTACTCTTCCCTTTTCTTTGAAATGTGGGGCTACTTATCATGTTTTCTAGATTTGACAGGAAATCTAAACTATGGAAGATCATTGAGCTAATTCTTTATCAGTTCCTGTATTAAGGAGCAGAGTAAATCTATCCCTAGAACAATTCCCAGAGCTGTAAATCTTTATGGGAACAGATTGCCTCATTTTTCTCTCATAGAGTACCTGGTAGGTTCATATTACCAACCCTAGGTAAGCAGCCTCTATTTAACTCACTTCACTAGTAGAGTTCTTTTGTGTCAATCCAGCCATCTATTTGTTTGTCTTTTTTAATCTATTACTTTAATCATCTTTTTTATTTTTTATTTCTAGGGCAGCAGTACACTGTCCTAGAAAAGTCCTATATTCCTTTAAGGTGTATGGCATATAATAAGCATCCAGAATTTACTTAGTATGAATATCTAGTAGCATATTGGTAAGAGCATGTGCTTAAATCCTAAAGGTATGTAGTTCAAATCCATGAGCTGCTTTGTGGGAGAAGGATGAACAATCGATCTCCTTGCATGTGATTTACTGCCTCTGAAACCCACTGAAGGGTTAGCTATGGATCCATTCTGACTTGATGGATGCCATCCCAACAACAACAGTGGGTAAGGAGTTGTGCTTCCAAACCAAAGGCAAGTGGTTTGAATCCACCAGCTGCTTTGAGAGAGAAAGATGGACAGTCTCTTCCCATTTGCTTTACAGCCTCTGAAAACCTACTGGAAGGTCAACTATGAGTTGCTTCTGACTTGACAGGCATGACCAACAAATATGTCTAAATAAGTGTCAGTACTTGATCTTGACTTTGGTTCTTGAATTAAATTTTGAACATGATAGCTCTTTTAACCTTCTATTCTCAAATCTATCTGTGTAATAAATTTCCAATATGCATGTATATGATATTGATATATTACTTCTTTGATTTGGTTTAATTTCCTAAGAAAGACTTGGGAATGAGCTGTACATTTATTTTTTTTTCCTTTCTTTGAATCCAAGGATCTACTTGTGGTACACATAAAACACAAAAAAATTATTTAAAATGTATATATAGCTTTTGTGAGAGAAACAACACTATTTGTTTGTTGTTTGTTTATGCCTAAGCAAAAGTCTACAGGAAGTTGTGCAATTAACTCAAAGACCAAGCTGCTTTGGTGATTCAAAGCTACCAGTAGCTCCTCAAGAAACTGTTGTGAATTCTTCTATGTGATCTGTAGCCTCACAACCCTGCTGGAGGGCCAGCTCTGAGTGGATTCCAACTTCTCAGGAATGAGAGAGTTGCAAAAGTGTACACAGAATGACATGAAGAAAGAGACCTTGGCGGTATTTTCTTAAGCAAACTTGTTCAATCAAATAGCAGAGTAGGCGAAATAAATTCCTGGAACTACTTTAAATGTTAGACACCATTTAAAATACATCTTCCTTAGAAAACACCCTGGCTTTTAAGGAAAAGTTAGGTGATAAATACTCAATATGGGCCGAATACTAGGATTTTGATAATGTATGCAAACTATTTATCAAAGAAATAATAGTACTTTTAAATATATGTTAACTTTACATAAATATAATGTTGCTGCAGTTAGATGTGATCGAATCAACTATGACTCACAGCCAACCTTTGAACAGATCTGAACCTTGCCTATCCCAAACCATCCTCATGACATTTGATATATTCATTTGTATAGTCACTGTGTCAATCATCTTATTGAGATGGGTTTTTGTCTCTGATCTTCCACCTTTCCCAGCATGACATCTTTTTCCAAAGACTTACCCCTTCTGACTACATGCCCAAAGTGTGAGTGACAAAGTTTCACCATCCGTGTCTCTAAAGAGAACCTTGTTTGCACTTTGCTGACAGCCATGTCATCAGTATTTCAAATGCCAGCAGGGTCACCGGTGGTGGAAAGGTTTGCGTAAATCTTCCAGACTGAGGCTAACTAAGTAGCAGGATTGACCATTCACATCTGAAATAACAGTCCTTTGAAAACTCTATGAATAATTTAGTATAATAGGAAACAAGTATAGTTTCTGCAGAGTTCAAAGTAGTTAAGGAATGGAAAGGACTGAACGTATATTTTTTTTAAATTCTGGCGATCTCAAATTAGGTTTTCCCCCCCTGTGAATGTCATAGAAAACAAACCAGCAGATGATCGGGTGTTAGTTAGATGCATTGCATCTGCCTTTACTCATCCATACAGAAGGCAAACTTCCTGCTAACTTAGGAGATGGCTCTTACTAAGTGATATTCGTGTGAATTTTCCTACCTGTTCAGATAGTGCTATCACAACAAGTTCAAACCTACTAAAATATAATCATCTCGGTACTGAAATGGAACCATCAGCAACTTCTTTGAGGCTAATGGGATTTTGTTTAGTTTTATTGCAATCATTGATAGGAGATAGAGCACTTGTTTCGTGGGTAGTAAGATACTGATAAGTCCTGTGATTTCTATGTTTTTGCAGAGGATAAGCTCGGCTTTTAGATTACATTTTCTTATATTTCATATTAAAAGGATGTTTTTTCACATGTTTTTGTACTGAAAGAAATAAAAAGGTAATTTCTAGTCAAGATATTATTGCTAAGCCAAAATATGGTATTTTAGTCTTATTATGTTTGCAAATTAATGAATTTTTGTCTTTTTCGTTGATATTATATGCTTAGATACTTAAAAGATAAAATTAAGATAATTTAAGGAGCAGATATTTAGTTATGCATCTGTGTTACTTAAAAATATTTTTAATATATTGTGCTTCAGGTTACAGAGGAATGTTTATGAATACATGGAAAAGGTGATAAGATAACAAAGCTGAAGACCAACACTAAATGAAAAAAGCAATCATATTTCAGTGAATAAAGTTATTTTAGGAATTTTTAATTAGAAAACCCCTACTATTTAAAGATTAGCAGGGGAATTATTCCTTACTCTGTGAATGTTGTTTCTAATTAGACTTGTTGGCTTATAATACACACTCCATATAGTAGTATATTTAGGTGTATATTGTTATTGGTTGTTAGGTACCATTAAGCCAGTTCAGATGCATAGCAACCCTGTATCAAGGAGAACAAAACACTCTCTAGTCTCGTGCCCTCCTCACAGTTGTTTTTGTACTTGAAACATACTTTTATATTACCCATTATTGCAACCACTATGCCTGTCTCTTTTTATAAATTCATAACTGTAAAATATAGTTTGGTATTCAGTTGTCAGATGAAATTTTACAGTTGAGGAAAAGTAATGTTAACTCTGATGCCTTCTTCTAATAAAAAATAAGGAGAATATAGAACAAGGCAGGCTGTTCCTACGTTCCCAGTTCCTCTAGTTTGTATTTAGAATGACTGACAAAAAGAAGTAGGGCATCATGGCTCAACAAAGAAATGGAAAGTCTGACTCATGAAGTCCATGGATAGCCTTCCTTTTTTGTAATTGCCATTGAATTTTACCCTCTCTGTGAAAAGATCCCTGTGCTACCCATTCTACTAATTCACTGCCTCCCCACAGTGAGCACCACTTCCATGCAAGAGACCCTGTGCTATATCTTATTAGTGCAAAGGGAGAACTGACACCTTTTATATAGCAAACAGAATAAGATGCCATGTTCACTTTCAGCCTTCCTTGTTTTGGTTATCCTGTTGCTCTATCCTTCATTTTCCCCTCTTTTTAACCTCATTCAGATGAAGAGAATGAGATGAGAAGAGCATCCCCTGAACCTGAGCTGCATCTCAGGTCTTATCAGTTGGAAGTCGCTAAATCAGCCTTGGAAGGGAAGAACATCATTATATGCCTCCCTACAGGCAGTGGGAAAACCAGAGTGGCCGTGTACATTGCCAAGGATCACTTGGACAGGAAGAAGAAAGAATCAGCACTCGGAAAAGTTATTGTCCTTGTCAATAAGGTACTCAAATAACACAAAATCATATTTTTGTTCACTTTCACCTCCTTACTTTGAAATTTCTGTGTAACAACATTTGTAACAACATGTCACACAGATTTTTTTTTTTTCTTAGCTAGGAGTCATGGTAGTGAAAGCATTCTAGTGGTGTAAATCTATTTAATTTAAAGGTTGATGATTAAAGCCCACCCACAGCTCCAAGGGAAGAAAAGCCTGGAGATCTGCCCTTGTTAGAATTTCAGCCTGACAAATCCTGTCAGTCAGTTCTACTCTGGCCCATAAGATCGTTATGTGTTGAAATTAACTTCTAACGTACAACAGTTACAACAATGCAAGTAGAAGAAAGTCTTTTTTTTTCCTTTGCTTTTCTAAGTATTGGCTTTAACAAAGAATGTTTTCCCCAGAATGACAAAGCAAATGACTATAATTTATGAATGTTATTTTTGTGTGTCATTGAATCAGAACACACCCATAGCTGACCTTCCGGCAGGTTTTCAGAGGCAGTAAATCACAAGGGAGGAGACTGCCCATCTTTCTCCCATAGAGCAGCTGGTGGATTCAAACTGAATGCCTTTGGGAATTACAGCACTGCTTCTTATTACTGGGCTACCAGTAAAGGGTATATCTACCCAGATCTCCTTTAAGGTCAAGTGGTACTAATTTGTGTTATTATTAAATGTGAACCTGTATGTTCACAAATATTGCTAGAATCTGAAATCAGATATTCGTTTACATACTACCATTTGGAGTCTATCTATTAGAAGCCTAGGTAGCACATTTGTTAAAGTGCTATTCTACTGACCAAAAGGTCAGCAGTTTGAGCCCACCAGCACCTCGAGGAAAGGAAAATGTGGTAGTCTGCTTCCATAAAGATTACAACCTTTGAAAGCCCCTAGGTATGTTCGGTTCCACCCTAAAGGGTCATTATGAGTCAGAATGATTAGGTAGTTGTTGTGTACTGTGGAGTCAGTGAACACTCCTGCAGGTTGTCAGAGACAATGAGTTGCACGAGAGAGGTTGTCCATCCTTCTCCCATGGAGCATCTGGTGGATTTGAACCCTGTGCCTTTGGGATTGCAGCACAGTTTCTTACCAGTAGGACATCAGAGCTCCCTTGATAGATGGTGGTGGGCTGATTTGGTTTCATCTATTAAATGCTATGAACTTGAAGAAACGATCGATAACTATGGAAAGGCATTAGGTCTTTTATTCATAGAGTTGCTATGAGTCGTACTCAACTCATCGGCAATCAACAACAACATTGATTTTTAGCGAGCTCTGGTGGCTTAGTGGTAAAGAGTTGGCACTGCCAACCCAAGGACATGATTTTACTCTACCAGCTGCTCCATAGGAGAAATATTCCTCCTGTGTGGATTTACTGCCTCTAAAAACCTGATGGAGGGTTCACCTTTCAGTCAGTTCCAAGGCGGTTCCAACTCAACAGTTACCTAACAACAACAGTGTATTGATCCTTATATCAGAGGAAGCAAAGTACTCTTTAACCAGAAGATGATTTGGTTTTAAAACAAAGAGATATTTCCTTCAGTAAACCACTAACACTGCTAAATGCTCCACATTTATTCTTCAAACTCGGCTTCTCTGGAATTCTCACCCATTAATTATAGTTCTTTACCATTCCAAAGAAAAGTGACCCAACAGAGTGTGGAAATTATCAAACAATATCATTATTATCACATGCAAGCAAGATTCTGTTGAAAATTATCCTAAAACGTTTGGAACAATATGTCAACAGAGAACTGCCAGATGTGCAGGCTGGATTTAGAAGAGATCATGGTACTAGGCATATTATAGCTAATGTTAGATGGATCTTAGTAGAAAGCAGAGAATACCAGAAGGATGTCTATCTGTGCTTCATTGACTATGCAAAGGCTTTTGACTGTGTGGATCACAACAAGCTGTGGCTGACTCTGAGAAGAATGGGAATCCCAGAACATTTGATTGTGCTAATGCAAAACTTATACTTAGACCAAGAGGCGGTCGTCAGAACAGAGCAAGGAGACATTACATGGTTCAAAATCAAGAAGGGAGTCCATCAGGGGTGTATTCTGTCTCCATACCTTTTCAATCTGTATGCTGAACAGATCATCCGAGATGCTGGGCTGTATGGGGGAGAATGTGGCATCAGAATTGGTGGAAGAGTCATCAACAACCTGTGTTACATGGATGACACAACCCTGCTTGCTGAAACTGAGGAGGACCTGAAGCGCTTGCTGCAGAAAGTCAAGTACTGCAGCCTTCAATATGGATTGAAGCTCAACATCAAGAAAACAAAGATTCTCACCAATGGGCCAATTGGCAGCATCAGTATGGGTGGTGAAGAGATTGAGATAGTTAATAGTTTACTTGGTTCCACAGTCAACACTCTTGGTACCAGCAACCAGGAAATCAAGAGATGAATTGCACAGGGAAAATCAGCTGTGAGGGACCTCTCAAAAGTACTGAATAGCAACGACATCAGGCTAGAGACTAAGATGCACCTGATCTGGGCTCTCGTCTTCACAGTTACGTGCTATGCATCAGAGAGTTGGACAGTGAATAGGGATGATAGAAAGAGAGCTGTGGTGCCTGAGAAGAGTGTTGAATATACCATGGACTGCTAGGAGAACAAACAGGTTTGTCCTGGAGAAGGTGAAGCCAGAATGCTCCTTGGAGGCAAGGATTCTGAAGCTTCGTCTGACATATTTTGGGCACGTTGCAAGGTGGGACTGGTCCTTGGAGAGGGACATCATGTTAGGGAGCGTGGAGGGACGGTGCAGGAGAGGAAGACCTTCGATGAGATGGATCGATTCTGGGAGTGGAGCGGTGGGAATGAGTGTGTTTGAGATGGTGAGGTTGGCACAGGATAGAAGCATTTAGAGCTCTTGTACATAGGGTTGCTATGAGTCACAAGCAACTCAATGGCACATAACAACAACAACAACAACAACAACAACACTCTGATAGAGTCAGTCTTAATTTCCATGTAACCACCTTTCACACAGAGACAGCAGAAGCATGTGGCTCCTAAATTCTTTTACTTCCTCTCACCTTCAGAATAAATGTCTTCAATATTTCCACTAGTCTTCCCATTGCATATTATCATGTCAAGAACTCATCTTCTTCCAGATATTTATTTAAGATTCATCTCAAACGTGATGGCCAGAGTTGTACAAAACACCATCTATGTGGTCAGACCCTGTGCAGCTTGTAGGTGAACTGACCTGTGACGCAGCCTGTGATTTGGTTTTGGCACTCGTGCTGGCATCCAGTGGGCTTAACAGGAATCAAAGAGCCTCAGGCCTTTTTGATTTGAAAATGTGTTAAAGTAGAGCTTCCCAATTTATATTTGTGTGGTTACTCTTTGAACCTAAATGCTAATATTTGTTATTTCTTTTTATGACTCAGTTTATTGATAATGCTATCAGTTGTATTCCAATTATTAACCCTCTGTCTCATCAGATCTAGGTCAAGCTTATGAGTCTACATTTACAGCAGTGTTTAAATGTAAATGTATCATTAGTTATTCATATTCATTTACCTGTTTTGTGGAATTTGAATGATAAGTCTAATTCCTGATATACTTCCTTATTGTTTTCCCCTGAGAATGACTACACAGCCCTCCATTAGTCCTTCCATGATTGTTTTACTTCTTTCTTACTTTACTATTCCTTTTCTCTTCATTTCAAATACATGTCAGCTTTAATTCTTTCTTATCGAGTCATAAAATCTCTGTCCCAGGAAGTCAGCATAACCTGCATTCTGTATTTGGCTCAATAACAAGTAATTGTAACTCATGATCTAGAAAAGACAAATCCTATTCCCTAACACCACTTACTTTCATCTCCCTTCCTCCCTCCTTCCCGAGGATGTAGCCTTCAAATTCAGGGAGAAATGAAAACACCACCTGTGTTCGCAGACCTTCCATTTCCTCCTATCTAGGGCTTCAGCATCAAGAGAGATAAATCCCAGGTTCCTTCAGATGCTGAAATGCAGCCCCATATGATTCAGCAGAAGTGGGTAGCAGTTGGATTTGATTAGTCTTGGCAGGCATTCTGTCACATCTCAGGAAAAGGCTCCAAAAGGACCACACACCTCCCAATTAGCCATGTCAGGCTTGCATATGGCTTTCTCTGTGTCCTTCAATAGGAACTCAACACCATCCCAGCCAGTATCAGGATTTCCAACACCTGTTACCTTCCGTGGCACCTTCTTTTTGTTCCCAACTTAGAGGATATTGTGTCTTTGAAATGTCTCCATTCACCTTTATGGACAGAAAGTCATGCCCCTATGCCACAGGAGGGAACAATTACTTTTATCTTTCATTTTTATCTATCAGGAAACTGAGTCTTTGAGATTTTAAGAGGCCTCTCAGGGGTAATGCTACCAAGAAGCAGCAGAACTAAGACTTGAACCCTTATCTTCCAACCTAAATTGATCTTCTCTTCCCAACATACTCAGCTACTCAAATGGAATAACAGATGAACTATGAGTGGAGTTTCCTGAGTGCTAGAAATAGGCAAACTCTGTTTAATTTTGCTTTTACAATCCTCTCATGTATATTAGCAATAGTCTCATTTCATTCATACAGAAATCAAGATGAGCAGAGAATAAGTAATTGAAGATCACCCAACATGCAAGTACATTTGCATGTAACAAAACTGGACAATTGTATTCTGGGCTTGATTTTCTTTTATTTGGCACATAATACTTTTTCCATTAGACTTAGCAGTTTCTTTTTTCCTTAGAATCTATTTTTATTTTGGCTTTCTTTTCACATTATCACCTGTCTTATATAAGTAAAATGAAAAAGATTACTAAAAAAGTGAAGCAGTGAAAGGTTGTGGACAAGAGAGAAGGGTGGTGCTTCTCAAGTTTCAAAGGAGTTAAGTCAAACAGGAGACACTTATATCTAAGTGTGGGTTTCAGGGCTCTGTCCCCCATAGATTGTCCCTAGACCCAGGAACTGTTGAGTGGGGCCCAGGAGACTGCATTTTACAAAGCTCTCAAGTGACTTTTGTGGCAAGAAGATAATAGACATCACTTTGTGAAACATGAAATAGACCTTTTATTTCTTAATCTTTTCAGCTTGTATTTTATTCTCTCACCAACAGTGGTTACTCACTGAAGCTCACTTTGATTCCTTGAAACTTATAAATTCCTTTTCCTACCAACTCGCACCCCAGAGTGGGAGCCAACCTATGCCCTGGTTATGTTGGAACCAATTCATAGCTGATGATTCTCTAGTGGGTTTTCAAAGGGTGTAAATTGTGCAGGAGATTGACCATCTTTCTCCTGAGGAGCTTCTGGTGGATCCGAACTGCTAGACACTTCCTTTGAGTTAACAGCACAGCTTCCCATGGACTTCACTAGTAGAATTAACTTTTAAAGTCTTCATCATTTTTATGAAGTAATAATACACAGCAGTATACTCTGTTACATACTTCATACAGTTTCTTCACAAATAAGATTTACTTCAAGTAAAAGAATCTCTGTGTAGCTTCAGTTGTTAAGTGTGCAACTACCAGCCTTAAGGTGGTAATGTGAACCCACACAGAGGGCCTTGTGAAGACAAGTCTGATAATCTGCTTCCACAGACTTGGAAACTCTGTTTCACATAATTCTCCTCTACCTACATGAGGCCTTCATGAGTTAGAATAAACTCAGCAGCAGCCAACAACAATAATCTAAAAAGAAAAGATGAATAGCTGGTACCAGACAAGTGAAAAGGTAACCACCGGTAATGGCCACAGCTGTTGGGTGCCGTGCAGTCAGAACCTACTCATAGCTGAGGGTTTTCAGAGACTGTAAATTACACAGAAGATTGCCCATCCTTCTCCCATGGAGCAACTATTAGATTCTACCCATGTTCCTTTGGGATTGCAACACAGGTACTTACCACTAAGCCACCAGTTACAGAAATAAAATGAGCACTCTTTGGTGCTTTCCCTTTGAACTATTTCTGCCAATTCTATTTGCCACACTGTACACTCTCAGGATTTTCCTGTGTTGTGTGGCAAAGTCGAACTGCCTCAAGGGTGTCTCAGACAGTAAATTTGAAAAAGAAGCTGATAGTCCCATCTTTCTCCCACAGAATGACTTGAACCACTGATCTTTTGGTCAGTAGCCACGTGCTTTAACCACTACACCATCAGGACTCCTTTCCATTGTCCTGGTTTTTCCTAGGGTATAACATTCCAGTCTGCCTGACTATTCATTTTCCCTCATTCAAGATGTGTTCTGGTAATGTATAATATTGAGGCTTCAACCCAGGACCATCGTTAGAAATTACAAATACTTAGAGCAAACTGAAATGGATCAAAGTTTTTATTTTTGTTTTCTTTTTCCCCGGTGAAATCTATGCCAGCAGTTTTTTCATATTCATCCTTTAGCCAATGCCTCAACTTCTCATTCTTAGTTTCCTGCTTCCTCCAGTCCTCTAGGTATTTTGCTTCTGGCCTTTCTCCTTGGGGATTTGTTCTACACAAGACTGAAAAGACTTTCTTTGAGCTCTGGTGGCCAAGTGGCAAGAAGCTGTGTTGCAATCCCAAAGGCACACAGTTCGAATCTACCAGCTGCTCTGTGGGAGAAAGATGAGCAATTTCCTCCCGTGTGATTAGCTGCCTCTGAAAACCTGCAAGAAGGTCAAAGATGGGTTGGTTCTGACTCTACAGTATGCAACAACATTACATTTATAATATTTCATTTGGAATTAATAACCTTTCATAGTTCAACCCTTCACTAAAAATTGATTTTCTTTTCTTTTTTTTTTAAATGTTCGCTGCCAAATAAACTGATGAATCAATGGATAGTTTGATGTTTCATAAGCTAATGATATACACTTGTAGGCCTTTGATAAATAGTAGTTTTGTATTGACTGTTATTTTTTTTTTTCCTTAACTTTCAAAAACCTGGACTTTTTTTAAAGGTACCTTTAGTTGAACAGCTCTTCCGCAAAGAGTTTGAACCATATTTGAAGAAATGTTATCGTACTATTGGATTAAGTGGTGATACTCAACTGAAAATATCATTTCCAAATCTTGTGAAAACCCATGATGTTATTATCTGTACAGCTCAAATTCTTGAAAATTCTCTCCTAAATTCAGAAAAAGGAGAAGATGCTGGTGTTGAATTGTCAGGTTGGTTGCAGTGTTTCTGTTTCTAAAATCTAATTAGTAATCATATTAAAAATAGTATTAACAATTGTAGTAAATAAAGGATATTGATTTTAAAAAAGCAAATAAGTCTTACTTTAGATTATCTTATATTACTTTTAAAAACCCTGTTCTATGCCTTAGGGAAAATGAACAAAAAATGGATAATAAGTTTTTAATTAGAAAATGTTAATTCTAATAAACAAAAAATATTGTGAATTATTGCAAATTTAAAAAAAAACACAACACAGATAGTGACTTTGCACACAGACCTTACCTGATGAACTGCACAGGAATCAGATTACATAGACAATACTTAGAGAAGCTCAAGATAAGAATTCAAAACCAGGCCAGGTGCTGACTATGTGACAGCCCATCAATTTTTCATTGCAAGTTCAAGTTGAAGCTAGAGAAAATGAAAACAAGTCTACAAGAATAAAAATATGACCCTGATTCTATCTCATCTGAAATGAAAAATCATCTCCAGAATAGATTTGAGGCATTGAATACTAATGATCAAAGAGCAAATGAGTTATGGGTACATATCAAAGATGCCACCTGTAAAGAGAGGTTATTACAAAGAAAGAGGAGAAATAAAATATAAAAATGGATGTCAGAAAAGACTTTAAAAATTGCACTGAAGCATCAAGAAGCTAAAACAAAGGGGGAAGACTGAAGTAGAAAAAATGAACAGAAGATTTCAAATGGTAACTTGAGAAGACAAAGCAAAGTATCATATGGAATGTATAAAGAGAGAGAGTGAGAGAATATAAAGAGAGGAATTCATTCCACATCGCACAAGCTGAGAGAACTAAAAAACAATTTCAAGCCTTGAGTTGCAATGCTCAGAGATTCTATGGGCAATAACTTTAATAATAGAGGATGTATCAAAAGAAGATAAAAAGAATACACAGAGTCACTGTACCAAAAAGAATTGATTGACACTGAAAAATTTCAGGAAGTACTATATGAACAAGAGCCAATTATAATGAAGAAGAAGTATGAGCAGCAATGAAAGCACTGGCAAAAAATAAGGCACTAGAAATTATTGCAATGCTAACTGACATGTTTCAACTAACAGATGCAGCCTTGGACCTGCACACCAGTCTATACCAGCTGCCTGATCAACTGGCAGAGATCTATATATTTGGTCCCATTTGCAAGAAAGGTGATACAACAAATGTGGAAATTATCAACCAATATAATTAATATCATGTTGTTGTTGTTAAGTGCCGTTGAGTCGCAGGCGACTCATAGCGGCCCTATGAAGGAGAGTCCTCGACGCTTGGGTGCCTTTCATCCTCTCTCCAGGTTCATAGGGTTTCTGGAGGCAAGCTATTGTGGAAGTGGATGCCACTCCTCCTTCTACAATTAATATCATAGGTAAGCAAAATATTTCTGAAAATAGAAAAAAACAAAACAAAACCAGAAACCCAACACTAGAACAGTACCTAGACAGAGAAGTGTCAGAAGCTCAAGTTGGATTGAGAAGAGGCTGTGGCACCAAGGATATAATTGCTGATGTCTGATGGACCTTACCTGAAAGCAGAGAATACAAGGAAAAAAAGTCCATTTGTGTTTTATTGACTATACAAAGCTATTTGATTATATGGATCATAACAAACTATGGCTAATACTGAGAAGAACAGAAAACCCACAGCACTTAACTTTGCTCATATGAAACTTATACCTACACCAAGAAGCTATTGTCTAAACAAAGCAAAGGAACACTGCATGGTTTAAAATCAGTAAAGATGTGCATAAGAATTGTATCCTTTCTTAATACCTATTCAATACATATATTGAGAAAATAATTTGAGAGATTGGACTCTATGAAAAAGATTGGCATCACAATCAGAGGAAGACATCAATAACCTACATTAATAAATGGCATCGTTTTCCTTGGTGAAAGTGAGAAGGACTCAAAACACTTGCTGCAGAGAATTTAAAACTAAAACCTTCAATAGGAATTGATTCTCTACATCAAGAAGATGAAAATTCTCATCATTGGTCCAATAAGCAACATCATGATTAAAGTTGCCAACAATTTTATCTTACTTGAATTCACTTGAATTCACAATCAAGACCCTTGCTACCAGTGATCAGGAAATGTATCATGTTGGGCAAGTCTGCTGTTAGGGACCTCTCTGAATTATTGAGACATAATGATGTCAGTTTGAAGACTAAATTGTGCCCCATTCAAGTAATTTGTCTTTTTAATCACTTGCTATGCATCTTAGCGTTGAATTGATGCCTTTGCGTTTTGGTGTTGGAGAAGAGTGTTGAATATTCCATAGACTTTCAAAGGAACACACAAATATGTCTTAGAAAAATGCAGCTAGAGTGCTGGACGTTATAGGCAAGAATGGAAAGCTTCATCTCACATCCTTTGGGCATGTTAGGAGGGTCTATTTCCTGGAAAGGGACATCGTACTTGGATAAATGGAGAGTCATTGAAAGAGAGGAAGACCCTCAACAAGGTGGATTGACACAGTGACTAAAGCACTGTGCTCAAGGGTGTCCGAGAGGATGAGGATGGCACAGATCAGTTATTTATAGAGTCACTATAGGCCGTGCTCAAATCAGGAGTATCTAACAGTAACAATGACGACAACTTCTTGGTTCTGGATGCTGTAAAGTTCTTAATTTGACCTTTGGGACCTTAATATATTTTTCTTTTAGAATAAAAATAGTATCCTTTCTGTTTTGTGGAGGTGAGGAAATAAGAAAGAGAGGAAGAAGAGCAATAATTACAGTAATTAAAAGCAATGTTAAAACAAGGGAGCATTAACCCTCCTTATATAGTATGACTTGTACTGCTAGATAGAAAATTAGCACATATCAATTTAAAATGAAATATTTTTATTAAGAACAAAAGTATAGTCCTCAGAGTTATTAGAAATTTTTAACTTTATACAGTTTTTGAAACTCATCTTTTAAGAGGGCGTGATATCTAGCAGGGATATTTCCATGATGAATCTACGTCCATGAAAGCATGTGCAAGTTCCTAGGACAGTTAGACTTTCTTCCTAAAAGTGATGAAGAGCTGTGGCAGAGTCCAGCTCAAGAAAAACCATCCCAGCTCAATTTGCTAAAAGACTTCTTTCACTGTCGTTTGTCGGTATGGGCAAATAAATAAACCATTTGAATTTTCCTTTAAGACTTTTCGCTTCTCATCATTGATGAATGCCATCACACCATCAAAGAAGCCGTCTATAATAACATCATGAGGCGTTATTTGACCCAGAAGTTGAAAAACAACATTCACAGGAAGGAAAACAAACCAGTATTTCCTTTACCTCAGATACTAGGACTAACAGCTTCACCTGGTGTTGGAGGAGCCAAAAAGCAAGCCAAGGCTGAGGAACATATTTTAAAAGTAAGTCATTGACTTTATGTATAACCCTACAGTCAAAACTGAAACAAACACCGATGATTCTGGAATTTTTAATTTACGTTTCGTACAAATGTTGTGAAGTATACAGAAGAAAAGCATTCTGTGATCATTCATGAATTAAATGATTACTAGTTGCTCTAAAGTAAGATGCTTCATCTTCAACAAAAGTGTTATTGTACCTTAATAAGTAACTCTGGCACAAAGTAGTAACACAAAAATAAAATAATAGGTTCTTTTCAACAGCTACTCTGAGTGTTAATGCTCTATTTGATGTAGAAAGATGTATGAACTATATCTCGTTTTCATACATTCTATTATTCTATGAATTTCAAAATTAGATCCTTCCCCCCCGAACCCCCACATGTCTTTTCTGTTTTAAATGATCCTCAGATTCAGGGTAAGGCAAATTTAATATGATGATGCCATACTAAATTCAATGACAGAAGCAGAGCTAGAAGAAGCAAAGATTAAAATCCTACTTTTCAGCTGCCCCTAAATAGCAGTACCAAAGTGCTGCTGTTGGTCTCAAATGTGACTCAGAGTAACTGAGAAATATTCCACCACCAAGGCAATTGCATTTACAAGTCTACTCCTTCAAGTTGCCTCACTGATAATCATGTAGAATAGGTAAAGTATTCAGAGGTTTGATTATTGGCTCCAAGATTGTATTACTTGAATTAAGGACTAGCTTTGATGTGGAGTCAGTCAGCTGTGCATTTGCCATCCTGTGTATTTGTCATTCATATATAGAATAAAGGGTTTAAGATGACAATGTGATTCATGATGTCACAAATACCTATAATGTGGCTTTAATGATATCATTATAAGATGGTATCATAAGAATGTAATATCTTTCTCTCTGCCTGCCACTACAAATAGCAATTGGGTTTTCTAGATGAAAGGCAGAATTTCAGAAAAGAGAAGAAAGTAATGATTTTTTAAAAAGTATGCTCTGATTTGATTTAGGAGTTCTTCTAGTAATGTAAACTGTTATTAGTTAAGTAGATATATGATAAACAATAGTAAAATGTTATAGTCAGTAAATAATGCTCAGTCTCCTTTGAATAAGTTAAACTGGAAAAGTAATTTTAATTTTGGAAATATATTTTTTTTATCTAGATATGTGCCAATCTTGACTCATTTACCATTAAAACTGTGAAAGAAAATATTGATGAACTCAGAGGCCACATAAAGGAACCATACAAAAAGTTTGTAATTGCAGATGTCACCAGAGAAGTATGTATTAAAAATTATATATTTCTTTGATTTTTTAATATGTGCTACCAACTCCATTGGTACAGTGGTTGTGTCAAGCCATCTTTGTTTTCACACTGGATCTTTCCCATTTCCTTTACCCCCTCCACCCATCAAATTGTGTGACCCTATGATTAACACCCCTTCCTCCTGTCCAACCTCACTGCTCTGCTCCACTCTTCTCCCTTTTGTTGGTGGGATTGTCAAATGGTACAACCACGCTGAAAAGGCAGTTTGGTGTTTCCTCAGAAAGCTGAACATAGAAATTCCATATGACCCAGCTCGTCTGCTACTTGGAATATACTCCAAGCAAATGAGAATTGAGGCAAAATGGAAACTTGTACACCAAAATTCAGAGTAGATATTCACGATCGCTAGGACATGGAAACAGCTTACATGTCCAACCACAATCCAATGGATTGAGAAATTATGGTACATTCACATGATGGAATACTATGCAGCATGCAGGAGCAATCATTTTGTAAATCACTATGTAACTTGGGAAAGACTGGAAAGCATTATGCTAAGTGAACTAATAAGTCCTATAAGGACAAATCCATCTTATTAAGGGTCTTCCTCTCTTTTTTTGACCCTCTCTACCTTCCCAGACTGTAGTCTTTTTCCTAGGACTAGCCTCTTTTTGACAACATGCCTAAAGTATGTGAGATAAAGTTTCGTCATTCTTGCCTCTAAAGAGCATCCTGGTTGTACTTCACCTAAGACAGACGTGACTGTCCATTTAGCAGCTCATGAAATACTCAGTATTCCTCTTCAACACTACAATTCAAAGGCATTGATTCTCTTTCTGTCACCCTTCTTCATTGTCCAATTTCAGATGCATAGGGAACAACTGCAAATACCATGGCTTGGATCAGACATCTATTAGTCTGTATACTAACATTGCTGTTCGTTAGTGTTTTAGAGAGGTCCTTGACAAATTTTCCCAGTATAACATGTCTTTTTATTTCTATTTCATACTGATCACCTAAAAACATTATCATAAAATTTTATCAAGAAACCAAGTTATGATTTTATGCTGAAACTGAGAAGGACCTGAAGCACTTGCTGCAGAAGGTCAGGGATTGCAGCCTTCGATATGGATTGAAGCTCATATCAAGAAAACAAAGATTCTCACCACTGGGCTGATTGGCAGCATCATGATAGACGGTGAAGAGACTGAGATTGTTAACAGCTTTAGTTTGCTTGGGTCCACAATCAAGACTCTTGGCACAAGCAGCTAGGAAATGAAAAGACATATTGTGATGGGAAAGTCTGCTGTTAAAGACCTCTCTGAAGTACTGTATAGTCTGGAGACAAAGGAGTGTCTGATACAGTTCATGATCTTTGCAGTCATTTACTATGTGTCAGCTGCACAATGACTAGGGATGTTAGAAGAAGAATTGGTAATTTGAGCTGTAGTGTTGGAGAAGAGTAATGTATATACCATGGATTGTTCATCTTAGAAAGATTAAACCAGTCTGCTCCTTGGAGGCAAGGATTCTGAAGTTCCATCTGACATACTCTGTACATGTTGCAAGAAGGGACCAGTCCTTAGAAAGGGAAATCATGCTTGGGAAGGAACAGCACAGGAGAGGAAGACCCTTGATGAGATGGATTGATTCAGTGACTGGGGTAATGTCAGGGAATGTAGGTGTGTCAAAGACAGTGAGATTGGCACAGGATAGAGCAGGGTTTAGGGTGGTTGTATATAGGGTTGCATGAGTAGCAGGTGACTCAACTGTAACAACAAGAACAACATTGCTATTGACAGTAAAGCCCTGTACTGTGTTCTAAACTTCTTTTAATTTTATGCCTTATATGAAATATAGTAATTATTTAGAGTCAGCAATTATTTGACTGCATATGAATCATGGAGAAAAGTGAGAATTGTACAGCATAACTAGAAGGATTGCCATACTTCTTTTCACCCTTTTCAATTTTTTTATATTCTTGGTGAATTCCAAGATTGCTTTTCTGACATAACACACTACCAAAATAAAAAACATTTTGTTGCTACCAGATTATGGTTGGCAATGATAATGAGAATCCTATCTAATTTGCATATTTGCATATTTACTTTCTGAGGAAAACAGTGACATGGTAAAGAAATGAAATATTTACTTTAATGGGGCTTTTGCAATGAATAATTTCTCAGAATACAAACAACAACTGAGAGTCAACTTGGACATTATGACTAGTACATTTTGTCTTTATTTTTTGTTTCATGAAATTTTTAAGGTATGATTAATTTCCACTGTTTATACTGATTATAACTTTAGTCCTTGAAATACATTACATAAAGGCATTAGATTTAATTATATAAAGTAAATACTGTAGATGATATTGTATTTGACATATAAGAGGCACTGGTGACTAACCTCCAACAATAATTTTTTTTTTTAATTTGGAAAAGAGAACTATATATTTCAATGGCACCAGCACATTTGAATATACTCTATTCATCCATATGTTTTGTTACTCACTTGTTTTTATGTTATTAGTTTATATGTGTGCTTCTATTCATAGTCATAAAAAAGTCATATTTTCAGGACATTTCTTAAAAAGAATATGTTATACTACTCTTTAATTTTTTCAGTGAATAATTCTTTGGCATATAACATGCATACAGAAAAATACAAAATCATAAGAAAAAAAAAGAGAGAATTGACTTTTAATAAACTGAGAACACCTATATAACCAAAATTCAGATCAAGAAATAGGACATAACCTACACCTGAGAAGTGCCAGTTTGACTCCTGCTAGTCCCCATCTGCAAAATAAGATCAGTGTCCTGGCTTCTAACACCAAGACTGAGCTTTGCCTTGTGAATTTTATGTAAATGGAATCATGTAGTATGTATTTCCTGAAGTGAACTTTGTTCAGAGTGCTACCTCTCAACTTTTAATTTTTGTAAAAATAAAACTCAAGTAGGTTCTTCAAAGAAATAGTTATTGAGTTAGATTTAGCTGTTACAAATAATTACAACATTAATATGTTTTTCACATTATCTTTGATATTCAACTTTGTGTCATCATTCATTTAGCTTTAATTTTTGAAACTTAAATTGGAATTCACACCAGGAATAGAAGGATACAGATATGGCTTGAAGGTAGAGGTAAAAGCTGATAAATATCAATGAACAAAGAGGTTGTCAAAGATTAATTGTTTTAGTCTTTGGACAAATATTCTGAATCAAATTTACTGTAACATGGAAATTGTTCTTAAAAATATAGTGGTGGTTCATTAACAATGTGCTCATGTAAAAACTTTGCATGCTTATATAAAAACAAGGGTGTAATTTATTTTTAGGATCCATTTAAAGAAAAACTTCTAGAAATAATGACAAAGATTCAAATATTTTGCCAAATGAATCTAAGGTCAGATTTTGGAACTCAACCCTACGAACAATGGGCCATTCAAATGGAAAAAGAAGGTAATTTTGGTTTGACTCAACACTTATTTTTGTCCATGTTTGTGCCAAAATTTCAGATGGCTGTATCACATATTTCCAAGCATATTGAAAGCAAATGAAATCTCAGATAAAAGATCTATGTTCTAAGTAGGACAAGAAAAAACATGCCCCAGTTCCTTATCTAGGAAAAGCATCCATTTTGGTTTATCTTTAGCCATTGGCTTATTGCAGGTTGAAAATGCTAAGATAAATATTAACAGTTATGTTTCCAAAGGCAAACTCTCCTAAAATGTTTTTCATGTTTTTCTTAGCCAGAGTGACTCAAGTATGTGTTCTTGGTGATGCACAATTTGAACAAATGTAAGGGGTGGAAATTTGCTTTTTGTTAGTGTTAACAGCACATTTTGAACCTCATGTAGCCCATTTCAAAATCAAAGTGAAACAGATTTTAGAGACAGTATTACAAGCATAGCACAAAAGATGAAGTACCTTGGTGCTAACCAAAAGTTTTGGCAATTTTAATCTACTTAGAGACCCTTTCAAAGGAAGAACTCCTTGTCTACTTCTGAAAGGTTACTGTCATTGACAATACTGTGGTGAACAATTCCTTTCTGTATGGGAATAGAGTGAAACAAATAGGACTGCTGTGAGGCAGAATTAACTGAATCTACACTGGCTTTGCTTTAGATCATAAACATATTCACATCCACAGAACTCTTTTAGGAACTGTGTTGTTCACTCATCCCCTCACTACTCACCATACTTTTATTTATTTTTTCATAGCTGCAAGAGAAGGAAACCGTAAAGACCGTGTTTGTGCAGAGCATTTGAGAAAGTACAATGAGGCTCTGCAAATTAATGACACAATCCGAATGATTGATGCTTTTAATCACCTTGAAACTTTCTATACTGATGAAAGACAAAAGAAGTTTGGCATTTCAGAAGATGATAGTGATGAGAGTGGGGACAGTGCCGATGAGGACGGCAACAAAAATGAGGATAAAAAGAAGAAACCTTTGAAATTGGATGAGACGGATATCTTTCTCATTGATTTATTTTTTGGTAAGAATCAATATAATTATTTTTCTCTAGGTCTATAGCATTCACCTCTTTTGAATAAACCTATTGCTTCTCATAAGACCCCCAAGTCCCTATTAAAATATTATTTTGAAAGAAGAAATTCCACTTGCACTGAACCTATTACAACCAGGTTAGTCATGAGCCAGCTATATGATCACAACTGATAATTTATCATATGCATTTATTTTAAATGATTGCAGTGAATTTCTTTCTAAAATGAGCCTTGTAATTTAGATAATAACAAAAGATAAACTGCCATGAGCAAATATCAATGCATCATTAAGAAAACATCATGTGCAACTACGTGATTGTTTTGCTAATTTTGACTAATTGTTTCTTAAAGACAACAGGAAAAAATTGAAAAACCTGGCTGAAAACCCAGATCATGAAAATGAAAAGCTGATGCAATTAAGAAACACCATAATGGAGCAGTATACTAGGAATGAGGGGTCGGCAAGGGGGATAATTTTCACAAAAACACGACACAGCGCGTTTGCCCTTTCCCAGTGGATTACTGAAAATGACAAGTTTGCAGAAGTGGGAGTGAAAGCCCACCATTTGATTGGAGCTGGGCACAGCAGCGAGTTCAAGCCCATGACACAGGTATAAACGTTCTGTAGACTCTTTCTTTTTAATGATGTTGTTGGTTGCTGTCATCTCCAACTCATGGTGACTGTGCAAAACAGAGTAAAGTGTCTAATCCTGTGCCAACTTCATAATTCTTGGCATAGTTGCGTCCATTATTGAGACTCCTCCCCACTTGTATTTTTAGTGCCTTCCAATTTAGTGGTCTTATCTTCCATCAATATATTGGATATTTAGCTGTTAGTATTTGTCAGATTTTCATTGATTGGTTTTCAAAAGTACATCACCAGATCTTACTTCTTATCGTCTTTTATTCTAAGAGTTCTGCTGACACTTGTCCACCATTTAAAATGCTGGTAGATATCTTCCAGCACCATAACCTTCTGCCTTCGAGTCATTCTGACTCACAATAAACGTGTAAGTATTTATAGGAGGAGACTGCCCATCTTATTCCTGAAGACGTATTAATGAATTCTTATTCATGAGTTCAAGCCACCACCCTTCCATGTAACAGCCTGACAAGTTATTTACTAATCCACTAGGCACATCATGTAACAGTAAGATAGATTGATGGATGGATTTGGATCGAAATGATGAACCGTGCATCAATTCTTTGTTGAAAGAAGTGCATCCAGAGAGCTCTATAAAATCAGTGATGGGGAGACTCTGACTCACGTGCTTTGGGCAGATTATCAGGAGACCAGTATCTGGAAAAGGACATCTTATTATATTAGCAAAGAGAGGCTCATTGAAAAAAGAGGAAGATTCTCCATGAGATCGTTTGATAAAGTTCCTGGCACAATGGACTCGTGTAACACACATATTACAAGATTGGTGCAGGATCAACAGAGTTTTGTTCTGTGCTCCATACAGTCACTGTGAGTCAGAGCCATCTGGTTGGCTCTTAACCACAACTGTCCTGAAAAGAATGAGTATAAAATACTTGTTCTTGAAAGAAAATGTGAGAGTTTTAAAAATTTAATTTTTTATAATAGCTTTTTAAAAAAATGTTATGTTGATTTGTTTACAAAGTTTATATACATTGTTTTACACTATTCTTCATTCATATTGCGTTTCTTACAATCATTTCCATGCATAATGTTTTATAAGATTAATTACCATCTTATCCATCATTTTTCCGTTTCCTCACCTCCTCCCTCTATCCACCAAACTGGGCAACCCTATGGTTTAATTCTATGAACCATATTAATTTTCAGTACTATTAACAGCAATTTGGTTTTTTTCACAGTAAATACTCATTGTACCATCCCATTTTCATGAATTGGTTGAAAATAATTGATATGCTTTTAATATTACAAACAAATTTACATAAAATATACTCTTTTTTTCTAATTAACCTACAAAACATGAAATGCCTGTTAAATTTTTTAAAAAGTCATTCATTCTATTTTTATTTCATCTAAGTGTTTAATGATAAATTTAATTTTTTGTGACTTGATGGAAACTTTAGAAAGCAATTTAATTTTTATTTAATCTTTCATTCAGCATTTTGTTCAATAATATCAATTTCAGTACTCACAATGTACTCTCTTTTTCCAATTCATCTCTAATTCTGATTTCAGTTCATCATAAGGATTTAATCTGTGGTATTTGATACCTTAAGTATTGGCCTACTGTTGTTATTATACACTGTAGAGGAACTGACTTATAGCTGACCCTTCAGTGGGTTTTCAGAGGCAGTAAATTGCACAGAAGGAGATTATTCATCCTTCTCCTGTGGAGCATCTGGTGGATTTGAACCAAGTGCCTTTGGGATTGCAGTGCAACTACTTGCCACTAAACCACCAGAGCTCCCTAGGCATTGACCTAGGAATAAATTTTTTACGTACTTGGATAAACTTTCTAAATATCTCTTAAAGAAACATTTCCCATTTCAGAAACAAAACAGAAATATTCACAGAATTATAAAATCAGCATCCCCTCCCCACAACTTAGTGTGTTATGCTGTTGTTGTTAGTTGCCCTCAAGTGGTCCCACCCCATGATAACCTCATATATGTAGAGTAAAACTGCTTAATAGGGTTATGGAAGTGGTGACCATGCTGTGTTTCAAATGATAAATGGAATTAATTTAAATGCATGTGGAGATTTTTTAAAATAATTTCTGTATTACTCAGTAGGGTTTTTTAAAGTTGTCTCAAGCATGTATTAGTAGTAAAGACATTAACTTCCTTTCATAATGAGTGTACTTCCTCCTTTTTTTAATTAAGTATTGTGGTTTTTTGGTTGTGTGTGTGTGTGTGTGCGTGTGTGTGCACGTGTACCATCAAATTAGATCTAATTGGTACAGAAGGATATTGTCCCTCCTTCTCAAGCACAGCATCTGGTGGATTTGAACCGTGTACCCCTGGGATTGCAGTGCAATCAATCTTGCCACTAGGCCACTAGAGCTCCCTACTTCCTCCTTTTTGATGAGCACATTTTATATCACATTTCCATTTTGCCCTAGCTTTTAGGAAGCTCACAGGAAAAAAAAAAAATCACAGTTCCCTTGCAGCAATTGTGTTAATCACTGTAAGTGATACTTCTGTCTTTCCCCGTTTTCAAATTCTATTCTATTCTAGTCTAGTCTAGTCTATTCTAGTCTAGTCTAGTCTAGTCTGGTCTAGTCTCTTTATTTACTACTGTATGTGGCCCCAGACCTTCTTTGAAATAAAAGGTGGGATAAAAATTAAAAGTATGTTTCCAAGATCCCATCCTATCTTGAGGCTACAGGACAAATTCCCTTCCTCATGACCCAAAGCCCTACTTTGTAAACTGACATGAATTTACACATTAAGAGTTTTTACAAACTAGGAGTGAAGCATCTATTTGATGTGATTTGAGATCCTTTGAATTAACATACTGAAAGTAGCTAATAAAAACCTTAGCAAGGTTTTTTTTTCCTCTAAAAGTGACAGCAGGGAGGTGAGATTAACAGGGATGATTCCAGAAGGGCTTATGGCAGGGCTACTCCAGCAATTAGGGGCTGATACAAATTCATCTACAGGACCTCTACAAAGAAGATGTAGAGCTTAGGGAAATTCACTGTTGATCTAGTATTTTTTTTATTTACTATAACTAAAATTGAAACCTACTGGGGTCAGGTAGATTCAGACTATGTTGACTATTAGGTTTTGGAGGCTGGAAATCTAAATAGGAAGAGACTGCTTTATCTCTCTCTTGGAGCGGCTGGTGGGTTCAAACATCTAAACTTCTGATTAGCTGATCAACCTACTTTGCCACCATGACACCTTTATTTAATATAAGAGGACCCACAATAGGCCCTAAAGACTGAGTGGGACAATAGCTTTGTTAAGAGTGGTTATGAAAATGGAACTGTACTGGCCATATCAGGCTGTTTCTGCTCATGTTTTATTCTCCAGATGCAAGTGCCTGAGTGCCTATTTTAATTTGTTTATTTACATCAGTTTTCAGAATACATACACTTTTTATTTACTATATTGTTAGCATTTTTTACCACCGATTGTTTTACTCATATAACTTAAAAATAGTTTTGTTCAAAATCAGTCAGTCAGCTAGTGTTTTTAGTTTCTCTTGTGTACTTCCAGAGCTATTCTATTTCTTGTTAAATGTCTCTTAATGTGACCAAGTGTGGCAAACCATGTACATTTTCTCTGTGATTTATAATTCAATAATCTGTAAAATTTTATTTTGTTGTCACCTAGAACATGTAGCTACCCTATGAACAACAGATCAAAATCTTGCCCTATTCAGTGCTTCCTCATGATCTTAGCCTTTGAATATTAAAGATTTTGAAGTTAATGTAGTGGGGGAAAGCTTTTCATTGCTGTCTCATCTCCTCGCTTTCTTCCTCCCATGTTGCCTATCAGTTTATTTCCTTGGCATGAATGATGGTCTTCCAATCTCCAGACTGGAGGATGGAAATATTTTTGTTATTGTGTGATAATCCCAGATTGGAAATCAAATGCTGTCTCACCAGTAGGCCTTTGCTCAGTGCCAAAAAACAGATGGCAGCCAACCCACATCTGATCTAATCCTTTGATTTACACTGACCAGTTGCAATTTATTATTTTGTCTCCTAATTAGAAGAATTTTAATGTGTTTAGTCTTACAAAATTTAATTTATTAAAATGTTTCTACAGAATGAACAAAAAGAAGTCATTAGTAAATTTCGCACTGGAAAAATAAATCTGCTTATCGCCACCACAGTAGCAGAAGAAGGTCTGGACATCAAAGAATGCAATATTGTCATCCGCTATGGTCTCGTTACTAATGAAATAGCCATGGTCCAGGTACATTCAGATGCTTTTAATATGCCATTTTTAAACTTTCTTATTATATTTAATTGCTTTGTTTTCAATTAGGGCTTTGAAACATGGTCCCTTGCATTTCAGTCATGGCCAGTTAAGCGAAGCTGAAATGTACCAGACTTGTAAAATATAGGTATATCAGAATGGAAAAAGGTATGGCCAACACTCTGCTAGAAACTTAATCTCCCCTCTAAAAAACAAGGGTGGTGTGTGTTACATAGCCAACAAATTTCTTGATCAGCGAGTCCTAACCAAGGGTGCCAAAATCAGATGGCTGACAACTCTGTCTCAGTGTGTGTGGCTCTTCATAATGCTGAAAGTCATTTAATTCTCCACATTAGGCTCCTGAAAGAGTTCACTCTGCCTTGTCCTGGTCTCCCATTCCAGGACACCAACTTTTCATGTTCCCCATTCTACTTATTGCACCAAAAACACCAAAATTCCAAATTCAAGGAGGTTCCAGCTTTGCTGCATTAGCCGTGACTGAAAGTGTTTCAACCAGTTCAAAGCCCTGTTTAAAATGAAAGCGGAGGAGGGGGGAATTACACATATATATATATATATATATATATATATATATATATATTCAGTTTTTAAAATATCTTTTTCCTATTAAAAGAGCAGTTGTGAAAATTCTATACTGTTGTTTTGTGGTGGTGGTGTTTATCTCTACTCAAAAGTGGTGTTGGTTTTAATTTTTGTTTCGTTGTTCTGTTTTTTTTAAATTATTTTTTGTGATTCCTTTCCGGGCCTTCATGTAAGGATTATGTTGACTTTATAGAATGAAGTACGAATTGTTTCTTATTTTTATGTGTTCTGGTAAGTTTGAGTAAAAATGGTGTCAGCACTACTTTGAATGTTTAGCAGAACTCTTCAGTGAAGCCATTTTGGCCCAAGCTGGGTTTTGGGCAAAGAGGGTTTTGGGGTTTTTTTAAACAACATCTTCAAATTATTATTTGGTTGTAGGTCTATTTAGGTTTTTTATCTCTGTTTGTGTTAGCCTAGTAGTGTTTTTATGGAAATGTATCCATCTCTTTTAGCTTTTCAAATGTGTTACAGAACAACTCTTGATAATAGTCTCTTATGATTCTTTTATGTCAATGGGTTCTCTTGTGATCTCTTACTTTCCTTTGGTGTTTTTGATATCTTTCCATTTTTACCCCTTTATCTATTTATCTGGAGACTAAGGTGTGCCTGATACCGGCCATGGTCTTTGCAATCAGTTGTTATGCGTCAGAGAGTTGGACAATAACTAGGGAGGATAGAAGGAGAATTGATGCCTTTGAGCTGTGGTGCTGGAGAAGAGTATTGAATGTACCATAGATTGCTAAGAAAATAAACAGGTTCATCTTGGAGAGGGTTAAACCAGGCTACTCCTTGGAGGCAAGGATTCTGAGGCTTCATCTGACATACTTTGGACATGTTGCAAGGCGGGACCAGTCCTTGAAGGGACATCATGCTTGGGAGGGTGGAGGTACAGCACAGGAGGGGAAGACCCTCTATGAGGTGGATTGATTCAGTGACTGGGGTAATCGGGGTAGGTGTGTTGGAGACAGTGAGATTGGCATAGGATAGAGCAGGATTTAGTGCTGTTGTACATAGGGTCGCTATGAGTCACAAGCAACTCAATGGCACATAACAACAACAACAACATCTATTTGAACAGTATATTTTCAATTTTATTGACTTTCTCAAAATATCATATCTGGTTTGGTTGATTCTTTTTATTGTTTTTCTATTTTCTGTTTATTTCTGCTCTGACCTTTATTGTGTATTTTCTTCTCATGACTATGGACTACTTTTATTACTCCTTTTCTCTTTGTTCAAGTTGTACAGTTAAAGTATTGATTTGAACCCTTTCGTCTTGATTTGGGCCCTTTCTTCTTTGATGTGTGTCTATTGCTGTAAATAGTCGTCCGAGCATCAAGGTTTTGGCATGTTGTATTTTCATCCTCTTTGAGTCCAATATTTCTAAAATGCTATTGTTAATTTCTTCTATTACCCAATAATTTTTAAGTTAGGTATCATTCAGTTTCCATGTATTTAATTTTTCCCTTATTCTTTCTATTACTGATTTCTAATTGTATAAGATTATGCTCAGAGAAGTTGTGTTACATTATTTTGATGTTCTTGATTGAACATGCTGAGTCTTACTTTGTGTCTAGAATATGGTCTATTCTGGAGAATGATCTACGTGTGTTAGAAAAGAATGTGTACTGTGCTGCTATTGTATTTGGGTGGTGATTTCTATATATGTCTTTGAGATCAAGTTGATTGTTACTTAGTTCTTCTGTATCTTTATTGAGTTTCTTTCTAGTTATTCTGTTCTTTATCAAATGTGGTATGTTAAAGTCTGTTACACCTTACTTATTTACTTTCTCTTTCTCCACATTTCACATTTATGACAACAGTGAAAAATCTACTGTCTGACTGTTGTACACATTAACGATGTGACAGACATAGCAGCAATGGGTGTGGAGTAGAATGAGATCTTCCAGAAGCTGGGCCATAATACCCTGCCTCTCCTTCCTACTAGCAAAGGGGCTGTGCCCCACTACCCTGTGAGGTTGGCCTCCTCTGTGTCCATGGACCATGAGTGGACATGTCCAGAAGTGGGTATCTATTTTTAGTTCCTTTGCAGTCTGATATCCTGCCACTCTAAAAGGCTCTAAGTTGAAAAGAGAGGAACAAAAAGGCATTGAGAAAGGTTTTTAGAAGACTTGTGAGTGAATTTAACACCATCCCAAAGTGAGCTGAGCTGAGCAGGAGGCCTCTACTATAGTATGACCCAATGCTCTTCCATTTCTCTCATAGGGCTAAAGGGCAAGCAGGTTCCAGGTCATGAAGACAAGGCTTACAGGGAGACAAGGGAGCCCTAGGTGCAGCTTCGCTTGGGAAGCTCTGACCCAGCACTGGAAACAGGGAAGAGGTTAAGCCTGTGGGCTTTGCAATCACACAGCCTGGCTTTATCCTCCTCCCCTACAGAGGAATCACCATACCTGGACTTGTAATAGCACTACAATAGAAAGCTTAGCTCTCTTGTTATTGTGATTATCACAGAGAATCAGGCAAATGGATGATCTGAAAAAAGAAAAAAAAAAATCTCCCAGTTTTGCATACTGCAATTCTTTGCACAACAACCCAATCTTTGGAACTTAATAATGTCAATAAATGAGTGGTTGCATTATTGTAGCACTAACTTTCTCTTCAGTTCTGTTGGATTTTGTTTTATATATTATGGAGATCTGTCATTGGGTTAATTAGTATTATTATTGGTACATCATCTTAGATGAACTGATCCTTTTATCATAGTCTCTGTAAATTTTCATTAAAATTAATAACAATAAAAATAGGGGGAAAGTTTTATTGGTATCCTTGTTCTGTTTTGTTTACTCCTTGTATAATGTTTTCCCCATCCTTTTGATTTTTAACCTATTTAAGTGTTTGTGCTAGTATGTGTCTCTTATAGGCATAAAATTGGATAAACATGCATTAGAATTGATTACTGTCTATCTCTTGACTGTACCTTTTGCACTCGATTTGATTAACTGTAGATGTGAATTCATTGCTGTCATTTTGTTAATTTTTTGGTGTAATGTTAACAATTTGTTTCTCTTCATTTTCTCTTAAATTGAGTGCTTATTATATATGTATTTTGTTTATTATTGATGCTTTGAGCTGTGGTACTGGAGAAGAATTTTGAATGGCCTGCCAAAAAACAAACAGATATTTTTTTGAGAAGGTGCAGCCAGAGTGCTCTGTGGAGGCAGTGATGGTAAAGCTTTGTCTCACATACTTTGAGCATATTGCAAGAAGCTTTTCCTTGGAAAAGGACATCATGCTTGGGAAAGTAGAGAGCTGGTGAAGGAAATGAAGACCTTCCATGAGACAGATTGACTCAGTGGGCCCATTATATCAGAAATTGTGAGGATGGCACAGGATAGGACAGAGTTCAGATCTGTTGTTTATAGGGTCTGTATGGATCACACTCTACTTGATGACACCTAACAATAGTAACAACATCAGTTGTTGATGGTTTGTATTTACTGCATCTTTTGTTTTCTTCTTAATTTTGGTGAGTTGTGTGTACCCTTGATTATGAACGAAAACATAGCCAGTCCTTCATGAGTTTTCAGGGGTTGTAAATTGCACAAGAGGAGATTGTCCATCTTTCTTCCAAGAAGCAACTGGTGGATTCAAACCACTTGCCTTTAGATTGACAGTGCAATTAGATTTAGTAATTTTCTGTGTAGTGACTAAAGGTTTACATTCATCCTTTTATATTTAAAACAGTCTATTTATTATAGCTTAAAATTGTCTTATCTTCCACTCCATATGACAATTCCATATTTTCAAATCTTTGATGTCACCACTGTTTACAGGTTAGCACCTCTTGTAGCCTGTAATCAGTTTTTTAGTTTTATTTCATTTTTATAAAACTTTACCCTGGCTTGGGTAATAGCTGTTATGTATCTTTATCTCAACTTGTTGTCTTAATGTCTTTGGTTCTCTATCTGAAGAATTTCCCTTGGTATTTCTTATAAGACTGTTGTTGTTGTTATATGCCATTGAGTCGCTTGTGATTCATGATGACACTATGTACAGGAGCCCTAAACACCGTTTTATCCTGTGCCAACCTCGCCATCTCAAACACACTCATTTCCACCACTCGAATCACAGAATCGATCCATCTCATCGAGGGTCTTCCTCTCCTGCACCATCCCTCCACTCTCCCAAACATGATGTCCCTCTCCAAGGACCAGTCCCTCCTTGCAACATGCCCAAAGTATGTCAGACGAAGCTTCAGAACCCTTGACTCCAGGGAACATTCTGGCTTCACTCTCTCCAGGACAAACCTGTTTGTTCTCCTAGCAGACCATGGTATATTCAACACTCTTCTCCAGGACCACAACTCAAAGGCATCAATTCTCCTTCTATCATCCCTATTCACTGTCCAACTCTCTGATGCATAGCACATAATGTGAAGACTATAACCTGGGTCAGGCACACCTTAGTCTCCAGCCTGGCGTCATTGCTCTTCTGTACTCTTGAGAGGTCCCTCACAGCTGACTTTCCCAATGCAATTCATCTCCTGATTTTCTCGCTGCTATTACCAAGAGTGTTGACTATGGAACCAAGTAAACTAAAATTGTTAACTATCTCAATCTCTTCACCACCCATACTGATGCTGCCAATTGGTCCAGTGGTGGGAATCTTTGTTTTCTTGATGTTGAGCTTCAATCCATATTGAAGGCTGCAGTACTTGACTTTCTGCAGCAAGCGCTTCAGGTCCTCCTCAGTTTCAGCAAGCAGGGTTGTGTCATCCACATAACACAGATTGTTGATGACTCTTCCACCAATCCTGATGCCACATTCCTCCTCATACAGCCCCACATCTCAGATGATCTGTTCAGCATACAGATTGAAAAGGTATGGAGACAGAATACATCCCTGACGGACCCCCTTCTTGATTTTGAACCATGTAGTTTCTCCTTGTTCTGTTCTGACGACCGCCTCTTGGTCCAAGTATAGGTTTTGCATTAGCACAATCAAATGTTCTGGGATTCTCATTCTTCTCAGAGTCAAAAGCCTTTGCATAGTCAATGTAGCACAGATAGACATTCCTCTGGTACTCTCTGCTTTCTGCCAAGATCCATCTATCATTAGCAATAATATGCCTAGTACCACGACCTCTTCTAAATCCAGCCTGCACATCTGGCAGTTCTCTGTTGACATATTGTTCCAATGGTTTTTGGATAATTTTCATCAGAATCTTGCCTGCATATGATATTAATGATATTGTTTGGTAATTTCCACACTCTGTTGGGTCACCTTTCTTTGGAATGGGAAAAAATATCTATCTTTTCCAGTCAGTGGGCCAGCTGGCTTTTCTCCAGATTTCTTGGCACAACTTAATGAGCACATCCAGGGCAGCGTCTGCTTGTTGAAATAAATCAATTGGTATGCTATCAACTCCAAGAGCCTTGTTTTTTGCCAATTCCTTCGTAGCAACTTGAACTTCCTCCTTCATTAACATAGGTTCTTGCTCGTATGTTATTTCCTGAAATTCCTCTATGTCAGCCAATTTCTTTTGATACAGTGACTCTGTGTACTCCTTCCATCTTCTTTTGATGCTTCCTGGATCATTTAACATTCTACCCAACTACCCTCAAATATTGCCACCCGAGGCTTAAATTTGTTTTTTAACTCCTTCAGCTTAAGAAATGCTGAGCAAGTCCAGCCCTTTTGATTTTCTGACTTCAGCTCTCTGCACATTTCATTATAGTATCTTGCTTTGTTGTCCCAAGCTGCCTTTTGAAATTTTCTGTTCAGCTCTTTGATTTCTTGGTTTCTTCCCTTAGCTTTGGCTGCTTGCTGCTCTAATGCAATACTCAGAGTTTTATCTGACATCCATCTTGGTCTTTTCATCTTTTTCAGCCTTTGTAATGATCTTTTGCATTCTTCATGGACGATTTTCTTGATATCCTCCCAGAGCTTATTTGGTCTATGTTCATTGGTGCTCAAGGCCTCAAACCTGCTCCTGAGATGGTTTTGAAATTCGAGTGGGACAGACTTAAGGTCACATTTTGGTTCCTGTAGACTTGATTTGATTTTCCTCAACTTCAGCTTGAAAGATTATAAAACTAGTCTGATTTTTACAAATCCCTTTAATTTCAGTTTATTTGGAAATATCTTCATTTTGCCATTGTTTTTGAAATAAATTTTTTCTCTATTTTGCTAACTTATTTGAAGCATCTTAACCACCTTTTTTAATGTGATTTGTTATTGCCTGCTGTTTCTTCGACACTGAAGTGTTATTTATATATTTATTAATTGAGTGTATGTCATACTGTTTGTCCTTTTCCTTTTTATATGCTTTGTTTTATTTGCTTGGTATATCAGTGCAGACAGAGCCAGCAAGATCACTAATCATTGAAATGGTGGTACATTCAGTAACTGCTGCACTTGTGTGCCACCCACCTTAATGGACATAGACCACTGCTAGTGGGTATAGACCTTGTCTCTGTTTCCTGGCCTCCTCCCTACTCTATGGTCTCCAGGAATTCCTGAACCTTTCTATACTTGTCCTTCTTAGGTCTGGTTTATGTCCTGCTCTCCTTTCTTCACATCAGATTTCTCTCTAGTTTTTCTATCCCTTAATGAGAATTCTGTGAAATTGGCTTCTTGTTTATCTCAGGCAAAATCCTGCACATGGAGATTCCAGATAAGTACACTGCTGATCTGGATGTCAGGGTATCTCCAATCCGTTGTTTTTCACTCTGTTTTCTTTCTAGACCTTATGTGACCTGTTCCTTCACTGTTATCTAGGTCTGTTTTACTTCAGGTCTCAGATATTTGCTGGTATGTCTGACTGAATCACTATCTCGAGATTTTCTTTGAACTCTATGATTTCTTAATTTTCCTCCTTTATTCTTTAATCTTTTCTTTATATTTGAATCTTTTTCATGATAAAATGTAGGAGGATAAAAGTCTGCGTACTACTTTTCAATCAAGTTTTATTCAATGTCTCACCCACACAATGTTGACTGCATTATTGGTTTTGTTTGTTTTTCTACACCATTTGTTGTTTACAGGTATGTTGAATAATGTATCTAACATTTTTACAAAATTAAAGGTTCTCTTAAAGGAAACAAAACACTTTTAATGGCATTCTCAAGTAAAAAAGAAAGCCATTGAAGAATGAAATTACTAGATAACCCACAAATCAGGAAGTAATTGTATTTCTAGAGTTGACTTTCAAGTTAATGACTTTTTACAAAGAACGCATTGTTCCTGAGAATAATAATAGTTGATAGTTAGACTCCTGAGGAAGCCCACAAAGTTTTCTGTTACTCCAACGGACCTCAGTATCACTTCACTAGTGTTGCTGCTTTTACGTACAACAGATCTGAATCCTCTCCTGTCCTGTGGCATCCTTACCATCTCTGATACACTTAAGCCCATTGCTGCAGTCACCATGCCAATCCATCTCGATGGCTGTCTTCCTCTCTTTCTCTAATCCTCTACCCTTCCAAGCATGATATTTTTCATGGAATAGCCTCTCCTAGCAACAAGTCCAAAGTATGAGAAATAAAGCTTTCTCATCTTTGCCTCTGAGGAGCACTCCAGCTTCACCTTTTCCAAGACATATGTGTTCCTTCTTTTGGCTGTCCATGGCATGTTCAGTACTGTTTTCCAACACCACAGTTCAAAGGCATCAATAATATTTCTGCCTTCCTTATTCATTGTCTAATTCTCAACTACATAGTAGGTAATTGAAAAGATCTGAATCAGGCACACCTTAGTCTTCAAACTGACCTTATTCCTCTGCAGTATCTTGGAATGTCCCTGACAGAGGACTTGCCCAAAGAAACACAGCTCTTAGTTCCCGCAAACACTTTCTTAATAGACTTATAAAAATTTATCACCATGATGATCATGTTTGCGTGGGAAAATGTACTTAGAAATCCAAAGCAGGATGCCAGGAAAAGAGCTGCATTCATAGTTATTCAATGTAAAAAATGGCCCCTTTTCTTCCTTCATCACTCTTGTTAGGCAGGAGGAGTGACAGTTCTCTGGTTCAAGTCTCTGATGATAGAACACATGGTTTGAGAGAGGAGTTGCCATTAATTACCATCGAGTCATTTCTGATAGCGGCTCTCTCTAATAGAGATCCCATGTGTGCAGAGTAGAAGAGCTTGATAACGTTGTCAAGGCTGTGCTTTTTTAGAAACAGAGAGCCACGTCTGTCTTCTGAACTGCCTTTGAGTAGGTTCAAATATCTAGCCTTTCTAATAGTAGTCAGTTGATTAGAGATTTACATCACCCAAGGGCCTGTGGGATATTTTACTGACGCAAAAATGTTAGACAGGACAGTATTGCATTTCTGAGACTTGGAAGGCTGGCATGGGCATCTGAACATCATCTCTGTAGAACACTGTTTTCAAATTAAAGCTCAGTTTGAGTTTCAAATGGCCAAAGCACACAGACTGGGTCATAACTAACATTATTGAAGAAACAGTTCATTTGAAAGCCAAAGAAGTGAGTAATAAATACCTTTCCAAGACAAGAACAGGAGACTGTGTAGCAAAGACTACCCTTTCATTCACTCGATTTCTTTATGTTCTCAGGCCCGCGGTCGAGCCAGAGCTGATGAGAGCACCTACATCCTGTTTGCTCCGTGTGGTTCAGGAGTTATTGAACGTGAGATAGTCAATGATTTCCGGGAGGAAATGATGTATAAAGCTATCAATCATGTACAAAACATGAAACGAGAGGAGTATGATCGTAAGGTATTGTTTTTGGCTGTCTCCCAAGTTCAGTTTTAATGTTAAAATTGTTGTGTGTGGTTACCATTGGTATCTCTGTGGCTCAATCTCCAGACGGAAATTATGCTGAATTATAAATTTCAGTTTGCTGAGCTGTGCTTGGCCCGCCTTCATGCAGGAAGAACCAGAATCCATGGGGAGAAGTTATTGTCAGCCATTCCAGTTCAGTCAACCGTAAACTTGGACCATATAAATTTAGGTTGCCTGCTGAAAGACTTGTAGAAACTGTTCATTCAATTCAACCTGGTGTGATTCAGTCCTTTTTATGGGCATAAAGTTTTTAATCTAGAGTTATTTATGAAATGATTACTATGTGCCAAGCAATATTTCAAGAACAGGGAACATGGTGGCAAATGAGATAAATAAGATCCCTACTGTGTGAAGCCTATATTCTAGTGTGTGAATGGTGAGGATTTGTTGGTGGTGGTGAGGGCCATGAAATTCTGACTCAGGGTGATCCTGTATGTGCAAAGTAAAACTACTCCGTAGAGTTTTCAGGTCTCTATGATTTTTTTTTTTATTTAATTGCCACGCCTGTCATCATAAGTACATATAGGTGAGTTTGAACCAACAAACTTTGGTTCTACTAATTTAGTATTTAACTGTTTGTGCCACCCTGATGGCCGGAGGTTTGCTTCATCTCCCTTAACCCCCATGATGAGTATAGGTGAAGAGAAACAACAAACACATTAAAAAGCAAGAAATACATCATAGAAATGCAAATGATGAAGAAATAAAACGGGACAAATTGAAACAAGTGATCACATGGCTTCTGTGGTTGGAAAGTCCTCTTAGAAGGATCATAATAACAAAAAAGCTATAGTCTAGCAATATATCTCAATTTACTAACATGTAGTCATTTTAGTTGTTAGAAAGAAGGAAGAATGTATTCTTACAATATTTCAGGAAATCCCCCATACCACTGAATTAAAGACTAACTAACTATAATAGCAAACAATCCATTTAGAAGAAAATTCACACCCTTGCATATGGGTGTGAATGTTAGTTTCTTAACATTGGAATTGGCTCTACCCTAAATAGAGTTTCACGAAAGGGATGCTTTCAAATTGGTGTGCATTGCTAGAACCAGTTCCAAGGTTTACAAGGCAGGTTTCTGCACAAACGTGTAGTTTAGAGCCCCTTCAACATAAGGCAAACCAAACATCTTGAGGTGTCAAATCAAACATTTGTGACCAAGTAGTGCCATTGAAAGTTACTGCTTTTATATTTAATGTCTAGAGAAGATGAATCAAGTGGATATTTATAAAATGGATGCTTGAAAACTAGTTTTAATGTTGGGGTAAGCTCTAGGACTGTCTATGCTGGTGGTATGCCAGGCTTTTGTAAACACAACCCTTTTGGGGCCCCCAGGGCAGACAATGTTTTTGAGGTTCCTTTGGCTTAGAGATGTACCAGACAGATAAACTCAGAACAGAGATGGCAATGTACACCAGTTTATTTAAAGACACTCATGAGCATTGCTTCTGATTTCATAATCCTTTCACAGAATTTCAGGCCAGTATTGATAAATGAAGGGATTTGACACATGAGATTAAATGCACTTGCCATTTCATATTTAGAGCTCGGGAGACATAGTCCATCCTGAGTGGCACCGCTAACTCAAATCTCACACACCTTTCTGGTGGTTTGAATCCCCCAGTGGCACTGAGTAGGGAGAATGGGCAGCCTCCTTCCATTCTGATTCTTTTGTTTTGTTTTGTTTTGTTTTATGCAATAACTTTTTTTTATAAAATATTATAAAGAAAACATAGATGTTGAAGGAGCACAATCAAGCCTATCACTTTTTGAAGATTCTTTGCTAAAAAGAAAATCCCTTGTTTACAGCCTCACAAACCAAATAGAAAGTCATACTGAGTTTGAGAAAGTTTTTAAAATAAGATTTCTAAAATAAGATGAAAGTCTTAAATTTTCCCATAGGATTGACCCACATGTTTTCACTCTGTTAACCATTCTTTATTTGGATTTACAGTGTTTTTAGCTGTTCCTCTCCTACACTCATCGGGATTTCTTTCCACTCCTTTTTCTTTCTTCCTGTCCTTCCAAACATACCATGTATTTTAAATATGCTAATATTCATTAATGTCCTGAAGATAATCTTTTCCTGTCTGATGTCTTGATAACAGCTCCACACCTTTACTTTGTTTTCTGTTGTTTTTCTTTATGTTGTACTCAAGAATTTCTTAACTAATCACATATGTAGATGTATGCCACATCACCTTTTTATCAGCTCACTGCACTGTAAATGTACAAAATTAACCTGACTCAACTTTTAGGGGCAAAAATATGTCAATTTATCATACTGTTAGAATTTTGATAGTGAGTCTTTGAACTTGCTAGATTAAATGTGCCTATGGCTTAATAGATAATGAGTTACACTGCCAACCCAAAGGCAGGTAGTTCAAAGCTAACAGCTGCTCCTCAGGAGAAAACTTGGCAGCCTCCTCCATGTGATTTGTAGATTCTGAAAACCTGCTGAAGGGTTAGCTGCTTCCAACTTTGTATCAATGACTGAGTTTTCACTTTAGCTTTCTTGCAGGATTTTATCCCCCTTTTAAAGCTAACAACAGCTGAGCCCTGAAACACAGTCAAGGTCAAGGAGGTGCACTTCGAGTCTCTCAGCTTTGTTCATCAGCACAGATGAGAAGCTTTTACTGAAGACTTCCCTTCAGTTTTAAAAACAATAATATAATTATTAAGTATCAATCTGTCCTCTATGTGAGGTTCAGTTTTAAAGTAAAAGTATTAAGAATCATGATTTTGACTGTTCTGTAAACCTGAGCTAAACACAGGTCTGTCCCTGTCAAAATTCCCATGTCTCTCAGAAACTAGTGTACTGCTTTTACTGTGAAATAAATTTAGTTGTTATTCAAAGAGCCTGAAATACAGTGCCTAAAGAGGCTTATTCCCATCCCTCCAAAGAAAGCTCTAAGTATTCTAACTTAGTATAGTTCTCTAAGGTGGTAAGGAAACAACCAGGGTTTCCAACCCCCCACTCTCTTCGCTGCTTTTTTTAGCATTTGACTTCAGTGCTCATGACCAGAAATGCTTGTTGCTTTTAGAATTCCAAATGCCACATCCTCATTTGAGTCAGGAAGTAGAAAAGGGCAGAAAGGGCACCGAGCAGCTATTTGATCTTTGTAGAGTCTTTCTAGAAGTTCCATCCAACAATGCCTTCTTACATCCCATTGGCCATGGCTGGGAGGTGTAGTCATTTAACCAGGTGTGTTTAGCCCCAGAATAAAATTGTGGTTCTGTTCCTAAGAAAGAAAGAATACTGAGTGCAAAAGCAGTGGTTTCAGTCCCAAGTGTAAAAAGATGACAGGTTTGCAGATTACAGTGGGAAACACTGTAATCAGAGAAAGGTGACTTTCAGCTATCCTTCACTATGAATCAACTGAGACAAGGACTGAATCTTCTATATGAACTTTATTAAGAAATTAGAGGTTTGAGAGGAAACAGGTAGTATGGATAAATTAAGGACCATTTTCTGACATTTCAGAATCAAGCCAGTCCTTTTAAGGGAGAGGTCATAGGGAATGTTGTTGTTGATTGCCTTCGAATGGAGCACGACTCATAGCGACTCTAAGGGAAAGAGTTGTGAGAATGGTCCTGGAGTGAAGCAGCCAGGCGTCTTGATGAGATTGTTTGCCCCATATGGCTTCCTTCGATGGTTGTCAGGTGTTCTGTGTTTGATATTTCAGGTCGGGAGCTAGGAGGCCTCCTTGCTGATGGTGTACTCTTTAAGTAACTTTTCATGGGTTTTTATTTTTCATGTCAGGGTGACTTTATCACAAATCTTTGATTCCTGGAATAACAATCTCACAGATAATCAATCAGGTTAATGGACCTTATGTAGGCAACTTCTATTATTGTCCTAAACTTAAGCAACCTCTGACTGTTATCCTGACCTCAGGTAACTGCTATCATTGTAAACTTAGGAAACTATTTACTGTCACCCTAAACTTGGGCAACTGTATCTGCACTCCCACCATTAGCACTAATCGACTTAATTTGAATGAGAGAAACTGATGGAGGAAAGTTTAGACTGATATTATGGGAACTGAATTCAAACCCCTGGGTAGAGTCTAACTTCTGTTGCCATTGAGTTGACTCATAGGGCCCCTATAAGGACAGTGTAGGATGGTTAGTGGAGTTTCCAAGACTTCAGTGTTTATATACTGCCATATTTTTCTCCCATAGAGTGGCTGGCTAGTAGGCTCTGAAGCCAACCTTTTTTGCTTAGCAATCAAGCACTTTACTACTCCAGTAGCGGTATTTACGGGAGGTGTTCGCTAGGTGCTGTCGAGTCAACTATGACTTCCATCTACCTTGTGAACATCAAGCCTGAGGCTTGCCTTGTCCAGCACTGTCCTCACAATCTCTGTCATGCTCGTGCCCACTGTGATAGTCACTGTGGGAATCCATGTCGTTGAAAGTTCTCTCTCTTTTACTAATCCTTTACCTTTCCCCACATGATGTTTCTCTCCAAGGACTGGTTCCTCTCTCCCTTTAAAACCTCTCATTATTACTTTAGATATAGGATTTAGAGGTAGACATTTATGGACATTTCTAAGAATATTTTCACAGTAGAGTTTCTTTAAAATGGAATCAGCTGTTTTCTGAATACTTGAGGATTTCCATAATTATGGGGCAAGACTGTATGCAAAATTTCTCTGAAGGCTGTTGCCTCATTACTTTTCATTTCTAGGTCACAAGTTAAGAGGATATTTTCATACCCATCAAAGATCTCCAAATTCCAGGAGGCTTACTTCACTAAAGCTGTGAGAAAAATAACCAAATAATTAAATATTCTTTTCTTGAAACAGATTTTGGAATTGCAGATGCAGAGTATAATGGAAAAGAAAATGAAAAGCAAGAGAATGACTGCAAAGCATTACAAGGATAATCCATCATTAATCACTTTCCTCTGTAAAAACTGTAATGTGCTAGCCTGCACTGGAGACGACATCCATGTAATTGAGAAGATGCATCATGTCAATATGACACCAGAATTCAAGTGAGTCCAAGAGAGCCATTTTTAGGTCTTTGGTTTTTAACAGAGAGGAAAACAGGTTGTATTGTAAATATGTTGTCAAATATTATCGTCCGGTAACACCAAGGTGATTTGACCTCAAAACAGGCCTGTGTCACAGAGTAGAAGTGCTACGTGTGCTCTCCTGGCTATGATCTTTTTGGAAGGAGACCACAAGGTTCTTCTGTGGAGCGCCTGGGTGGATTTGAACAGCTAATCTTTTTAATAACAGCTGAGTACTTAACCATTGCAATGCCGGGCTCCATTTATCCAAAAGAATACATATGAAATGCATTCTCTTTCAGAAGTATATTTTTCAAAATTATATTTGCACTTCAAAGAAAATCAACTGCACCAGGGGAGGAAGGGACCTATATAAGACATTCTGGTTCAAGGCACATCCGTTTGTCTTGGCTTGTATTTGTTCACAAAAGTTTTGAACTAATCAGGCTAAAACAAGTAACAGACTTGAAAGGGGAACCAACCAAGTGCCTTCTGGTCAGTCTTACCTCGTAAAGGTCCTGTTTCTCTCAGAGTAAACTGCCCTCCATTAGAGTTGTCAGTAATAGCTGGTGTTTTAGAAGTAGACCCCCAGACCTTTCTTCTAAGGCACCATGGGTGGATTCAGACCTCCAGCCTTTTTGTTGGCTTAGTTAACTGCACTACCCAAAGACTCTTGAAAAGGGAGAGAAGTCATAATAGCTTGGCTCCTGAGTGAAATGTTCAAACAGGGGTTACTCGAGGCATCTGCTATGAATCTGGGGAAGCAGCAGGGAAAGAGGGATTGAGATGTGAAGTAATGTCATGCCTTTGATGAGCTTGAGGTCCGATAGCCTGTCCTTGTGGACTAAAGAGAGGGACTTTCCCACTTCTCAAGGGTGCTTCTTTCTTTTTGCTTATTTTAGGGAGCTCTATGTTGTGAGAGAAAACAAAGTACTGAAAAGGAAGTGCTCTGCTGACTATCAAACCAATGGCGAGGTTATCTGCAAATGTGGCCAAGTGAGTAAATTGTGGTGGTCTTCATTTTAGTTTGGCCAAAAGAAATGCTTAATAGGTACATGTTTCACTTTCCCTCTCCATTTCTCTTTTGTCTTCCAGGCTTGGGGAACCATGATGGTGCACAGAGGTTTAGATTTGCCTTGCCTCAAAATAAAGAACTTTGTAGTTGCTTTCAAAAAGAATTCTTCAAAGAAACAATTCAAACAGTGGGTAGGATTACCGATCACATTTCCGGATCTTGACTATTCACAGTACTGCTTGTTCAGCGATGAGGATTAGCTTTTGGTTTAAGATTGTTTTAAAGTCTTGTCATCTTAATATCTAATATTATTTTAATCAGTGTTTTCATTATACTACCTATTATAAGAATTAATAAAGTCATTGCTTGACCTTGCACTGAACTCTTTAAATGGAAACAATGTTGTTATGATTTCAATTACCCAACTTATTGGTGGGGTAAGGAAAAAAAATCTACTAAAACTTTTAGTATGGGGCATTATAATAATGTGGAAAGAATGATGACATGTAAATGAGAATTATAGGTACCAACTTCAGTCCTGCCACTGATTTCCAGAGTAAAGTTAGGCAAATTATCCTTCGGTTCATCCTTCTGTCCTAGTCTCCTTATCAGTGAGAAAGTTATAATACTACTGGGCTTTGTGTCATTGTCTGTTATGATGTACAAACACATGTGGTTTAACACTCAAAGTTCAACTCATTGCCCTCTGGTAGATTTTAACTCATCGCAGCATTCTATTAGGATATAATAGAATAGCACAAAACTGCTCTCTAGATAAGGCTGTAATATTTTCCCCCTCCTTTTTATTGTGATTTGAAAGTTTCCAAAACAAATTGGTATTTCCATTCAACTATTCATAGACCTTTTGTCTTATAAGATTAACTACTATATCCACAATGTAACGCCTTCTTTCTACTTCCTGTGATTTCCATGTCCTTAAATCTTCTATCTCCTCCTGCCTTCTAAGCTTTATCCATGGGAATATGCTGACCTTTTGAACTTACATGATTGGTTATTCTAAGGAGTGAGTGCCTACAGCTAAACTTATTATAAAAGAAGCCAACTCATTGCTGTCCAGGGGAAGTTTTCTGAGGTTATAAATCACACGGGAGGTGATTTGCCTTTTTTCCGTGCAACTTCTAGTGGGTTCAAACAAGCCACCTTTAGGTTAGCAGTGAACTCTTTATGGAGCTCCTTCTAGGCCCATTTATTGTTTGGCTGAAAGTTAAGCTATACATTCCAGATTTTAAAAACTTGCTCAGGAGTTTCACTAGTCTCTATTGAAGCAGTCAGCCTGGCTGTTTTTATGTTCCTTAGTTTTGTTCCACTTTTTCCATCCACTCTATATATCTAAAGAAGTTCTGGAGGCATAGTTGATAGGGAGTTGCACTGCTAATCTAAAGATGCTGCCTTTCTGCCAGTTCAAATCCACCAGCAGCTCTGACAGAGAAAGATGAGCAGCCTTGTCCCAGGTGACTTACAGCCTCAGAAAATCTGCTGGAGAGTCAAGCATGAGTTGGCCCTGATTCAACAGCAATGAGTCTGAGAGGGTAAAAGAAATAGAGGAAGACTCTTAACAAGATCAACTGACACAGTGTCTGTAAGAGTGAGCTTGAGCATGTCAGAGATCAGGAGGATGGTGGCAGGATAGGGCATGATTCAAACCTGTTGATAATTGAGTTGCTTTGAGTTGTAGTGTACTCTGTGGCACTCAACAACAGCAACGATGTATATAGCAGAGCCAACAGAGGCAAAGTTATGTAAACATCTAAACCATAACCACATGCTGCTCCTGTGGCCTCTGGACCATAGTCTATGGAGACTTCCAAGTCAAGTTGGCCTAACACAGGCCACAGAGACATTGTTCTGTATCCTACTTTGTAAGTGTTGCCTGGGGTCTGAAAAGCTTGTGATCAGTCATGTAAGGTGCAACTCTTGGTCTCCCTCTAACCAGAACAAAGACGAAGGAAGCAAGGCAAAGATGCATAGCAACACTCAAGTCTCAAGGATTGATGGGCTGCATGGACCTCAGCTTCTAGAACCCTGAAACAGGAAGAACTGCATGATGCCTGTTTGCCACTGCTGACCACTCTAAAAAAAATTCTAGTGGCAAGTCTTAGAGCACTTGGACAAATAGTGTGGAATAAAACATGTCTATAGTCTTTTTCAGAAGCCAATTATCAGAGCTTTCTTTCATGAAAAGGCTAGTATGTTCGACCTGTGTGACTACACTTAATTAGTGCACTGATTGAGATTGTTCACAGCTTCAGTTTGCCTGGCTCCACAGTCAACACTCTTGGCACCAGCAGCCAGGAAATTAGAAGACGTATTGCGATGGGAAAGTCTGCTGTTAGACTCAAGAGCAACAGTGTATCTCTGGAGAATAAGGTGCACCCGACACAGGTCACGGTCTTTGCAATCACTTGTTATGCATCAGAGAGTTGGACAATGACTCGGGAGGACAGAAGGAGAATTGATGCATTTGAGCTGTGGTGCTGGAGAAGAGTATTGAGAATACCATGGACTGCCAAGAAAACAAACAGATTCATCCTGGAAAGGGTTAAACCAGGTTACTCCTTGGAGGCAAGGATTCTGGGGCTTCGTCTGACATACTTTGGACATGTTGCCAGG